TTGCCGTCTTACGTGTTGTTGATATTTTTAAGGTCGATGTTAAAAATGTATACTTTAATATTAGTCAACGGACAGTTAAAAAAAGGAAGATCTACAAGGTGGACCACAGCCGGCATGTAGAGTTATTAAAAAAACCATTGCGTTTCACAACACAATGATAATAATATAATACATATATGTATATATTATAAGCATATATACATATTGTTGTACGTATGCGTGTATAACTATGTATATTTACATATATATGCTATATATACCTACATATGTATGCACACACATTATAATGATTGTTGGTGTATTATTATTATGTACATGCGACCTCTTTATCCTCTGTCCCATCATGAGGCGTCGGCGGCGGGTAGAAATATGTTGGGTATAGGTTGCACGAGGACGTCCGTGGCGGGCAACGTGCGCGTGCGTGCGTTCTACGCGACCGATTGAGCCAAGGAGCGCGTGTATGCGATGCCACGCGCTTCATGCATTCGGTAGAAACGACGGACCGGCTCCTCCACGCGCTCTGAATTTCGGCAATGGGCCGGGTTCACAACCGCCAGCCGTTCGGTAACCGTCGGCCACCGTCGATGCTCGGCTAAGAGGTGTAAGAGGTAAATAGTCCAGCCAGGCTTGGTTTGAATTTCGTTCCTCGTCCCTATTAACTTAACCATTGTTGTGGTACTGTTCATCTTCGTAGTCGGCTGGTGCCGTTCGTTCTCTGTACCCGCGAACGCATTTGTTCGTATGTTGGATATTCGGTAGTGATTATTATTTTTTAAACAATAATAATAAATACCTGTAGAAATTAATGCGGTTTATTTGTGTTTTAGTGAATCAAAATTTTAAAACCGAACATTTTTTTTTATAGCGTTGTTAAAATTTTTTCACAGTGTTTTTTATATGTTTTCGAATTTCACGAGAAACATTTTTAGTATTAATCAGAAATATATAATATAAACATTTTCAATAATATATGTATTATTATCATTTTTTTATTATCATCTTTGTTTATTCTATGTGTTGAACCCGGACAATTTTTTACTTACTAATCAGATGTAACGCTGTGAAAAGGACGAGGTACGTACTCTATTTTATTATTTAATTAAAAATTATGGCTATTGTCGTATTTAATGTTTTATAAATTAAAAAAGTTAGTCTCAAAAATATATAATTTAAACAAGTAATTTTGTAATTTAAGGGGTTAGCCTGGTGGTTGAGCTATTTAACGCTCGGAACGTTCAAAGCATTTTTAATGTCGTCCGCTTGTCTGTTAAGCCATTGATCGATTATTTTCTTTAAATTTTTATCTTCGGATCTCTATTTTCAACAGTCACGTCGGATTTTTATTTATATAATTTATAATATTTGAAAGGAAAACAATACACAATACGATAGGTATGTTGCAAAACCCATCGCTCTCTCCGCTCTCTACTGCACTAACGTCAGGCCAATGAGTTCATCAACCTCTGTCACTGAATATTGCTCAAAAAAATATATATTTGATTTTTGGGGTTGTATAGAACAAATAAATTTTTTCAAATGCAACACTATATGTTTCATACACTGGCGTGACCTAAGCCGAATAATTCTATTGACCGAGGTTATTGTAAACGATCTACAGCAAGGCCCTCAGGATAGTTACCCGTACGTCATATGGTGGGGTGACGGAAAAAAAGATACCATAAGATACATGGCATGAATAGTAGGATTTTTTTTTTACCAGTTTTTCGGTTTCATATACCATAATAGTATATAACTTTTTATGTATAAGCATATATATTAATTTGTCAAAGTAGACATGTATGTATTAACATCAGAAATAAGGTGTCAATTCGACGGTACACTGAAAAATCGCGTGGAGTGGGTCGGTTTCGAAAAGAAAGGCATAGTAATGACTAACTTGAGTGTTATTGTGCTAGTAACAAAGCTGTTGGCAATTTTGACGTGGCAGTGTTCATTGCAATTTTATTTATTGCTAATTGTTATTCTCCAGCGTTTAAACGAAACGGAGGGAGTTATTTTTAATCGAACATTGGCCAATTCTATTCGTTGTGGGTTTTTGGTGAAAATGCACACGTCGAGTATTAAACTCGATGTTATAAATATTTTTGTGTTTTTATTATTCCTCGATTTATCTTAAAACTATCACATTATTTTAAATTAAATATTAACTCGAAACGAATGTTGAGTGAGGGTGCTTTTTTTATACTAAAAAGGTTTTTGATTAATTTCGAATCGTTTTCCGAATACAAATGAATTTTCTTTTGGGCCCTTTAGTTAGCGATCCGGCTATGGTGACTCGATGTCAGCATAAACGCACTTACGGACATTTTGAACTGTGGAACTTGATTTAACGACCTTTTACCCATCGGTACATGGGAAATATCTACCGACAGAGTCTGTGTACTATTAACTCTCTTGTTGACTGTGTTATTTGATGTCTCTCGTTGTTTTTTTTCGCTTTGAGAATGACCTCGGTCGGTTCCTATAAAAATTGTTTATAAAAACCAAAATAGTAGTACACGTGCCGAAATAAAAATCAATTTTCGTTACATTCCAGTGAACTGGTCGCAATTCCCCGCGGCGCACCGTTTTGGTATACTTTCGAAGTATTTTTTTCTTCATTTTATTTATTAATAAATTATAATCATTCGTTCGCAGAAGACTTTGTATCGACTTAGAGGACAGGTTATATTCCAGGAAATCGATGCGGGGGAGAGAGAGAGATTATCATTCGATTTGATAACTCATTTCTGAGATGATTTCACGTTTTCGAATTTTGGCTATATTGCAATAGACCGTTTTTTAATGTATGCACTCTTATTGTGTTAAGCAAAAATTATGACGAAGAGGTGGTAGCGGTAGGTGACATCGTCCTTTCGACAAACTACGACGACGGTCCGTGGGTGGCGGGAAGGGTCGGCATGGTGGTGCCGGAGTCGAACGCGTTCCACACTCTCCGCTGCGTTGTCGAGGTCGGCGTCGACGGCCGGCGGGTACGGGTAGTCTCTCAGAACACACGTGTAGGAGCCGGACCGTCGTTTTTACCAACCGTCGAAACGATGGTCCGACTCCTCCACAACCAACACGGCGGCGGCAGCAGAGACCTCTGCCGTCGCACCGCACCGTTGCGTTGAGAAAGGTTACACACACGCACGCCCCCCACCACACTTCCTCCGACCCGTTGCATAACGCAATGAACGCCGCACGTTTACCGCGCCACCACCAACCGCCGATCCTTCTTCATTACGAAAACAATATTGTTATCGCGGTCGCTTTTTTTTTATTCTTATTAACTGTGATCACAGGAGTTTATAATGATATGGACCGCATTAACGTTTGAAATAGACTTCTTTCATCGTTATGTATGCCTGGTTTCAGTAGATAATTGTTATCAAACGATACTACTAACCCGATCTCGCACAAGTTATTAATGGGGTTCGAGCGAATCGATTAACATTATTCTAGGAGATAAATGAAAGTGTACTGAGACGATAGCGTGCGTTGCAGAATGCTGAGGAATTAGTTTTTTTGATCGACACTTTCAAATTTTGCATTTTTACCGCAATATATTGTCGGAGAACTCGTATTTTTTTTTTTTAGACTCTCTTAAGTTTTAATAAGCTTCGCCGCAATCGTAAACGACGGAAAACAAAATTATTTTGGAGGTGATATGATGTGCAATATTGTCTTTTTTTCAAACACAACTCGATTGTTTTTCTTACCACAAGCTAGCAATAGTAGTTTTTCTAATGCGTATACTACACGCGGAGTATTTTTTGGAAAGAGCCGCTGCGATCTACGCGTGTGCGTGCACGCACATTCTCCCCGACCACTGTCAGTGTCAATGAACCCCGAAAACACACCGTGTACCAAACCGGGGGGGAGCGCCCCTTTTATTTTACATCGCATTCGACCCTAATGCCCGACTTATTGCCTGCTGCTGCTATTACTACTACTATTGACGTTGCCTCTTGGTGTGTTAGATTGTGCTGCAACGGGCGTTCTCTAGGGTCAATGCACTATCGTTAGTGGAAAGAAAGAGGATATCACATCGTTGTTGATGTCGTTGTCGTAGTTTTCCCCTAAAAGTAAAATTTCGGTCCAACCACCGGTCGTTATGTTAACGACTGCGGGCCAAGTTTTTTCGACGATATCCGCTTTCCGTAGCTACGAGCCCTTCGCCGTCTCTGGTTTCCATATGATGATGCGCTTGTGTAGTGCGCAATGCTGTCGGATGGGATAGTAGAAAATAAAGGGAAATATCTCTCAGCTCATAGTGAACTGAAATTATTGGATTTTCTACGCATATAGGCCGGGTTTGAAAACAGTACTAAAGTTTTCGGACGGACAATACACATAAGATGTATCAAGTCGTTTTTTTCGTAATACGATCAGTTATACAACAATTGTGTCCGCCTAACGTACGGCGTGCTACTTAGTAAAAATAACCCTGAAATTACACGCGCTTCTCATCGCTCGGCAGGTGGCGGTCAAAAATACTTTCGATTGTCGTCGTTCGGTTTTTGGTTATGCATAGAGTTCCCTCCCACTTCCCTTTCAATTCGTTGCCGCCTGCGTGCCAGGATGACATAAAGCGTACGAGCCGGTGATCTCAATGCTCCAATTTTTCGTCATTTATATTCGTTTTTACGATTTTTTAAGGAAATTAATTTCTTCCATAGTGAAACGTGATCAACTCAACTCGGGGAGGAGCTTCGAGGTTGAAATTAATCCTATGCAGCTTTTATTCAAGGATATACTATTTTAACATCCTACAAATGTCGTTAGCCTAGAGTATTAACATTTTGTACAGAGAAGAGTCCCACGTGCGTCGTCCGGTCGGCCCCGATCGTATCCAGTCGTTGGTCGATGCGTTTCTTATCGGTGCACGCGCACGCACGCACACAAACACACACACACATACACACACCGCCAAAGCCCGAATTATTTTCGGGGGGAGACCGTACTGCAATACGCGCGCTTCACGATTACACTTCTACCACCACCGTGGTACCTTCATCACAGCCGCCACCACTAGCACCAGTGTACGCGCGCAAAACGCACGCACAAACGCGCTAGTCATATCAGTGTGTTGTTTGATGTATACGCGTCCAAGAGCTACGACATCGCGTTGCCGCCTATAGGTTCACGCACACTCACTGAACGTACCGAGAGTTACACGTGCCCACCGCCACCGCCACCGGAAAACAGAGAGAGGACCGCGGAACGCTACGGCCGCCACCGCCACCGCTGTTGCCGTCATTCAGTTCGTAGGCTGTTGACTGTAGTTTGTTCGTCGCTTTCCCGTACAATTTCAAAAAGCGCTATTCAAATCCTAATAAATAGTAATAGTTAATTTAGCGAATGTTCTATACTTGAGCGTAGGTCGGTAATTAGAATGCAATAACATTAGAAATATTTTATCCGATCGCGGCCGAGTGCAAAATTCATAAATATTGCGGCTTTATTTTTTCGGTAAAAAAAAAAAACAAGAAACATTTATTAAGCGGTACTTGCTGATCCGTTTCTATATGGAATGAGCGCCTCATTATGGCACAACTATGGGACAAAGCGCAAAAACAATGGATTAAGAATTTCTGGTTAAACTTAAAGACTTCGGCGATCAAAGACGACGACAAGGGTAAGTCTCTAATGGTAGTGGTTGTGCGATTAACGTTGCTCTAGTCGTGTTTAATGACATTTAAAAAAATGATACTTTATAGATTTTTATATAGCGAAAATTTGCACTAGAGTATTGTTCCGAAGTCCAGGTTATTCAGTGTATAATTTTTTGCGGAGGACTAAATAATAAAAACTATTATAAGGCATTGTTTTTAACTGTTTCTTTTTCAAAATCTAAGAGAAATCAAGTTTTTTTTATTAACACCCCAATTCCATCTCTCTGAATTAATAGTTCTTATAATGAAAAGTCGAATAGAAATTGTTTTGTTTATGTCAAATGATTTTGTAGGTTTTATTGTGTACTGTCATCGTGCTTAAAATTAACTAATTAACTTATGAAAAAAATTATATTTTTATTTCAACAGTTCCGGAGAGTTCATAGCATTAATGTGTTGAGCGGCATTTGGCCGCTTACAAATCATGATCACTTTAAACGCCTTTGTCGTATATACTAAAGTAATAAATTTATTTGTGAAACAATCGATTGAAGCAATTAGACTGTTGTCCTATGGAAGATTTTTTCATTTTTGAAAATTTGAAAAGCGTTCCGTTACGATTATTTGCATAGTATTAATTCATAGTATGTTTCTTTTGACTATTACTGATTATTGATTTAGTATGAGCGATAACAATTTCTCAAGTACATGGACTAGTCATAATTGGAGACATCATCGAGAAGGCGCCCTTTAGAGCACTTTTGATTGTATAGTGTCAACAGTGTTCAACGATGGTTGGCACTTTTGCNGTAACAATTTCTCAAGTACATGGACTAGTCTTAATTGGGGAGACATCATCGAGAAGGCGCCCTTTAGAGCACTTTTGATTGTATAGTGTCAACAGTGTTCAACGATGGTTGGCACTTTTGCAACGCGATTCGGTTCGTTTTCAAACGAACCACAAAGATTAAATGATTACATGTTCTCTCATAGTATTTCTTCCTTTTAGCGTTGAGTTATTTTAGGAGACTATTTTCGATCGACAACCCGACAGATTCGCTTAATTAACCTCATCTATTCGTGTTATCTATCATACGTTTACTCGACGAAACGCGCTTTTGCTTTTATAAGTGCAATATGCGCGTTTCAGTATTTCCCCTCCGTTGGTGCAGTAAAAAGTCAATAAATGGGTTTTCGGCTAGTTATGCTCAAGAAGTGTTCGCTTAAACTTCACCGAGGGATTTGTACATAACGGAGAACCGTATTTCGATGTAAAATAACGTCCATTTATTTCTATCTTAATTCACGCATACATTAATAGGTACTGTTTATATGGAACTTTCGGTAGCAACATTTGTCGAAGTTTATTAATCGCATCACTCTGTAATCGTCTTGTCTTTCTCAATTCGGTCATGTGCGCTTATACCCCGCGAACGCATTAAAAAATTGACCATGTAAATTATATTTGTTCATGTCTCCACGCCGTTTAGATGGCTTTTACTACAATCGTGTGTTAAAAATGTCATAAATCAAACTCGGACGGCAACGAGTATCTGCTGAAGGTTTCAAGTAAGAAATACCGACTAAGTTTAGATATCATGACGCTTTTATTTCGGCAGCGATTAATAATATCATTTTCACAACTTGCTTTTTATTTGAAGTTTCCGTCCCATCGTCGGTTCTTTTCGCTCGTCGATACACCCGTTGCAATTAGCCGATATTGCCCGAACTACTCGAGTTTCTTTGACAAATTTTTACTTTAATAAGATCACTAGAATTGAGTATTTGAGATTAACAATAGTTGTTTATCGTTTATTAAGTTCGAGAGTTTTTTTCGCGTGAGATCCATCGAATCTATTTGTTTATACAGTACACGTGTATCGAACATTGTAGATGAATTAGTAGTCTATCTTCCGTTAACTCATTAAATTGTCGAACGTGTTCTTTGTGATACTTGTGCGCATTAAATTATGTGTTACAGTGGCGAATTTGCCAAGTATTGCACGGCGTTTCACGTAGGCAATTCACGGTCTTTAGTGTCTTGCGCTCTAATTCTGCGTATGAATTAATTTGCGCTGATATTAACCCAGTCATGCCTCCCTCCATTACCCAGCCATTGTTTCTCTCTTACGTGGCTGACCACTGCGCGTACAGAGTTTACCGTACGCTTTAATGTGCCGCGCTTACGTTTAAACATACAAATTATTGTGTTTGAATACGATTTCTGTACAATGTAATTACGAGAAATACAAATACATTAAATAGACGGAAGAAACGATAATTTAAAAAAAAACATCGCCAAAAATATATTGAACTTTAACGATAGTGTTAAAATTTCGTTTTTTGTCTATTTCAAGCTTTCAACTTAATCAATATTATCTATTTAACATTTTTGTAGACTTTATAGATACAAAAAAGTTATATACAAGGTGACCGTTTTATCATAAGCCACTCGATTAAACGGCAACATACATATTTTAAATGGCTTATAAAATACATATAGATCTAAGTAAAAAAAAATAACCAGCCGATTACAATTTTTGGACCAGAACTACTTACCTCCAGTCTATATTTTAAAATGCTAATAACTTCCGAGTGACAAGTCAAAAAGTTGCTATCGATTCGTCATTTTTTTAAGTAGTTAACTTTCTATTTTATAAGCTAGTTTAATATGTATATATGTTTAATATGTATGTTGCCATTTAAAAAATTAAAATTGACATTTCTATAAGTTAAACTGGATGATTTCATAAAGCCATTAAAAGTTTATGATTCAAGAAATATATATGTAACTAATATAAATCAAAAATTTGTTCTCAATATTGTATTTATTTTGTGAGTAAATTGGTTTATGATAAGCCGACCATTCTGTATTACTTTTTACTTACTATGTTAAAATGTGAGATAGTTTTCTACCTTGTGTTCGAATAATTTATAGAGTGGCGGTTGGTGACATATTTAAATTGTGAACGATGTGATTTGTAAGCATGTGTTTTTTAACAGAAAGATACCGGTTCGACAAAGAATTGGAGAGAGAGATTCAACACATTTCCCCCTTGATCGGCATGGCGTTTATGCGTTGTGAGTGTTGTATGTCAGTATTCAATGGAACAATTAACTGATACATTTCATCGTTTCCTCCGGTGTATAGTTGACGATCGAGCGATGACAACGACCTTGCATGCTCATCTCTAACCGAAAACGTGAGGTTTTTCTTTACGACAAACGCGAGCTTACGCAACGACTTGTCGCTAGTTTCTTGGAAAACTTGTATCGTATTAACGCAATATAACAAACCCAACCTATTGTATTTAAACTGAGCATTGACGACTTCGGGTTTCTCCTGCAACAATTTCTCTTATACGATCACAGAAAGAGAGGGATTATTTTCAATTATATCTCGGAGGCTGAGCTGTTGGCGTGTTACCGCAATTATGTAATGTATCTACATACCGTTCGATCTCGTATTTGAATTTAAAATTAAAAAGTGAACGTGCGGTCGACTACCCCTCGAGGGCTACGAACAAATTCTACCTATTATCGAAGTTAGTCAACAGTTGATTTTAGTGTTTCATTTGGTACATTGACCAGTACGAAGGTTATGAGTTACATTTAAAGTGTTGATTTTGAGAGATTTCGGTTTGATGATATTTTTTTTTCAACACATGCATCAATTGTACGCATAATAAATTATTATATTTGCTCTTATTTATAATATATTCTTCTTATATTTAAATTTTTTTATTTCGAAGAGAATAATATATTCATACCTCGTTATTAATCAAATATAATGATACGATCAGAGTCTATTGTATCGCCTAGGGTATTCAATTGTGCCGCCCTGAATGATTTTTTTATTTTACTCATCAATAAAATTTCTCTACATTTTATACATTGTACATTTTTTTAATAATAATAAAAGAGAAGTTCAACTCCATAATATATACTGCTCCATACACCCAATAACCCCCCTCTAGATGCGGCCCTGGTTACGATTGTTTTTTTAAAATTCTTATCGAATAATTTTCGGTTCACAGATAACGTTTTGGGGCATGTCTCCGAAATGGTAGAGCTGATCAATGGGGAAATGCCAATATTGAATGCTACCGGTGGATCAGCTGATTTGGCTCGTGTGGGTATCGACTGTACGATCAGTCCATTAAAATCGTCGTCCACGGCGACCACAAATTTAGTTCATCATCATCAACAACAACAGCAACAGCATTTGCTCCGTCAACAACAACAACAACAACAAGAAGCTTCGGTTAAACGCGTCGTTTGTAGTCCAGACCTCCCGGTGTTTACCATCACTCCTGTGGTTGAGGAAGCGGTGATCGACTCGTCCACAGCGGTGACTGTTGTGGCGTCTTCGACTGGTTCCAAAATGACTCCCATCGCTGCCGACTGTAAGGGAGCTGCGTCCGCTACGGCTGTGGCTACGTCGTCATTGCAGTGTAACGTGTGTCATAAAGTTTTCGCTCAAAAAAACGCGTTCCAGAACCACCTACGATCTCATCTCAAGGACGCCGCTGCTGCCGATGGTCCGTTCCAGTGTAATTACTGTAGTAAGTCATTCTCGGTGCCGGCTCGGCTCACTCGCCACTACCGGACACACACGGGAGAAAAACCGTACAAATGCGAGTATTGCGACAAACCGTTCTCTGTCAAGGAGAATCTCAGCGTCCACAGGCGCATACACACTAAAGAACGGCCGTATAAATGTGACGTTTGTGATCGTGCGTTCGAGCACAGCGGCAAACTACATCGGCATATGCGCATACATACGGGCGAGCGGCCGCACAAGTGTTCGTTCTGTGACAAGACGTTCATTCAGAGCGGTCAGCTGGTCATACACATCCGAACACACACGGGCGAAAAACCTTACGTGTGCAAAACATGCGACAAAGGGTTCACGTGCTCTAAACAGCTCAAAGTACATACACGCACTCACACGGGAGAGAAACCATACTCGTGCGACATTTGCGGTAAGTCATTTGGTTATAACCACGTGCTCAAGCTACATCAAGTGTCCCACTACGGTGAAAAAGTGTACAAATGCACCATTTGCAACGACACGTTCACATCCAAAAAGACCATGGAGAATCACATCAAGAGCCACTCGGAAAATGGAGCCTCTAACGGTAACGGCAACAGCGCTCAGACAACAGCTGGTAGTCCGGACACTCCTCGAGCCAGCAGTCCGGGCACAGGCGAGACCTCATCTTCGTACGGCGGTAGTGACAAAGAGAACTGCAAGTCCTCTTTGGTTGACGACGTCGACGGCGCCGGTGAAGTCGTGGGGGAGCCTTTGCAGCAATTGCGTTCAGTCGATTCGCCTCCGGGGTCTGTCGGCAGCACCGGTTCCTCTGCTATCATCGAGCTCGAGAACGCTGTGCGACCATCTTCGTCGGCCGGTTATGACGACGACGAAGACGATCGACATTCTCTCGGCCGTCATCGTCTACAACCCCAACGGCATCAACAACAACAGCAACAAAAACTCCATCACCTCAACCAGGACACCTATCAACAACAGCAGCAGCAGCATCGGAAACGGCGTCGCAATCAAGAAGACCACGGCGAAGACGTACCGGTCTCGGCCGATACCCGATTGACGGCGTTGTGTCAGTACTTGTACCCGCGACTTACACGTCCGGATGGCACGCCCGCCGCCGTCGACTACGGTAGAGCAGCCGATTACAATGACCAACTGAGTCCGGCGAGCAGCACGTGTTCGATGACACTGACCATGGACGAATCTTCACCGCAGTCTCTGCCGTCACCTCCGCCTGCCATTCAGCTGACAGAATTTCGCGAAATCGCACTGGCCAACGCGCATCAACAACACCAGCAACAACAGCACGTCGTAGGGCGTGCCGACTATCGTCTCGAATTTGACCGTCTGGTGTCTGCCGACAACCACGTTCGGTATCCGGACGCCGGCGATTCGTCGCCTCCGCCTGCACTCGCCATTTCCATGGCCACCGAAGACCGTGGACAATTAAGTCTACCTCCCCGGAAACGGTCCAAGATGATTCTCAAATACATGGAAACGGCGAAAAAAGAGGCGCAGTGCAGCAGATACAGTTCGGTCATACAATACGCCAACAAAACCTCTATGTAACTGAATACCTCATTTTTGTGTATGCACACAGACGTACGTGTATGTACATAAATAACATTTATACTTGTGTATATTTTGTTTTTTTCTTTTCTTTTACAACTTTTAAAATCTTTAAGCGTCTAAATAGTCAAAAGTATAATGATTGAGTAGATCATATTTACATCTGTATTTTAATATTTATTTGTTGTTTTAAAGAATATTTATATATTTATATTTTTTTTTATCTGTGATAAACAAAACAAAAATTTACTCAAACATCATTTTTTCACGTTTATCTTACTGACCGGGAAAAATGAACTTATTTTTTATTAATGCTTCTCAAGTTTTTCGCAGGAACAGAAGGAAATAGGGTGTATCTTGTTTTTGTTTGTGTTGTGGTGTAGGTTTTATGACCTATTGTAATGTACTAGTAAAATATTGTCTTCATGAATAGATAAAATAATAAATCAGAATTATTAATTGTAATAAACAGTTAGTTACGAGTACGTAAGTTTTGCGGCTTTTTTTTTTGTCACGCGTTTTTATGTTAATGGTTTCATTTATCGTTAATTTTGCCTTAAAAACCCGAATATTCATAGACAAATCGTGTGATAGTGAATATTTTCAATAATAAATAGGATTATTCGACTCGCCTTTCACTTAGGTCCCGGAAACAATGTTGCCGCCCTCTCTGGGTACTCTACATGATAGTATTTGTAAAAAAACATACTTGCCTCGTTCGCGCCCGTCAAAATGCCACTACTCTTCGGTTGGGTTGCCTACAGATTGGTGGATGTACATTGCTTCATAATCGTTTAGATCGCGTGTATTGAACAAGATCGTTGAAATCCTGCAACTAATGTGGTTCTAACGTGACATTGACTATAAGTCCCCAAACGTCTAAAGAAACCATCTACCTCATTCTTATGCCTTATTATTAAAAATATTTTAATTCGTTGCCTCATGTGTTATATATGTAGAATTTATAATGCTATACCGCAGTACAAATGTAGATCCAAAGGTGCGACGCACCTGAAGACCAATTTAAATTAAATTAAATTAGTTTAACTTAAATATATTTATCGTGTTTCGTATTTATATCATAGAGTAATTTATGTTATTAATGATAAAATTATCATAATAACATTTTTTTTTATTGTATATAATGTTTAATAATATCTATAAAATATCAAATGGTCAATCAATATTTTTTTTTCTTTGTTTTTTATTTTAATTATTATCTATCGTGTTGTACGAATATAGTTTATTTTAATTAATTGTACGTGTGAATAATATAATTAAGGTATATTTTAGTATAATGTGCGAGTCTATTATACATAAAACATTTATACATGGACTGTCTTCGTTTGTATAGGCATGGCATATACGGACGTCATAAATGTACTGATTTTGGATCTCTATTATTAATCTTTGTACAAAAAATTAATATAAATTTAGATTTATATATATATATATATATATATATATATATATATATATATATATATATATATATAATAATATTAATAATATTTTAACATGGGAACGCATTTAAGTATATATTATAATTATTATTTTAAATGAAATAAACAATAATGTGTTGCATTAAATGTTCCTATGTATGAAAATGTTGTTAATTAGTACATACATACCTCGAATGATATTATTATAATTTAGAACAATTATGATTATGTTGGTATTTCTTATTTTTATGGAACATTATTAAAACGAAGAAAAGAAAAAATTACATCATATTATCTAGTTAATAAATATTGTATTTGTCATTAAACTAATTAGTGTTAATTTCCCTTACCCTTGATTTCTATTATAATATAATCATGATATATTATGTATTTACAAATCGTGTATTTTGTTAATTTCATCCCAAATTTCTCAATTGGTTTGATTTTTTAGTCGACTAGTGCCAAAACTGAACTTGTATATATGTGATATAAGTTAAAATAATGCACACTTGTAGTATGCCAAATAGAAATAATTTCTCTTGGCTTTGGCAATTAAAAATATTGTTATTAGAACACCAATCCAACCATTAACCATGTAATAAAAGTATATTACAATTAATGAAGTCTGCGTGATTTCTTTAAGATACAGGTTTTAAAATTGAGCAATTTTAATTTTACATTATTTTGTACAAAGAAAAAGAAATTATTTCCTAAAATAAGTCTTATAAAAGGAATTTCTTCTGGATTTTTAAGTGTAAACGCTTAACGAAGTTAATATTATAATAAGCAGGGCCTGTAAGTTTATGCATTAGAAAAAACGTATATAAGCATACAAATATGAAATGATCTCATGTTTTAATAAATTATTCCAGTGGAATATGTTTAATTTAGTTTTTCCAAAAATTATTCAAAATCGGAAAACTTTGTAATACCTCCTTTCATAGTGTTATAAAATTAGGATAAGATTTTATAATGGATGGTTTTATTAATTGTACAAAAAAAAATATATCAAAATCTTAAACAGTCTTTAATAATTAACAATTTGCCAGTGACTATATAATTAATCCTATTGGGTTAATTAGGAAAGTAGGTAGTTCAAAAAAATTGTTTTCGCTATACTTTTTAAAATTTAAATGCGTTCATAACGTGTTATAAAATTTTAATAATAAAAAAAAATCGTTGAAATGAAAAAGTATTAAAAAATATATTTGTATGTAAAAAACGATTCTAGTGAAAATAATATACTATAATAAGTAATCAAAGATATGCTAAATATACACTATTAAATCATGTATTCATTTTTCTAATGTTATGAAATGAATTTGTATCTTAATTATTATGTTTCTCATATAGTAAAAAAAAAAGAACATGAAATACATGAACTTATAAGTTCCAAAGCAAAAAAATTAGGAAGTGAAACAATTATGGGATTATAAAAAAATATAAATGTCAGTTTCGTTATATGCTTACATGGAAAAATGAATGACTAAATAAAAAGATTAACTGATGATTAATGAGGATGGGTACCATCTCTCAGAACATGCCATCCTATAAATAAGTTATAGGGGAGATCTGCTTAATATAAGTTACTACATTGTAATGGACTAAATTATAGGGAAATAATGTTTGTTAACACTTGAGCAGCATATTTTTAATTGTTCAATAGTATATAAGTATTAATCTAATCATCTAATTCAATTACTAAAACTTATATAAATAATTAAAGACGAATTAAATATATTTTAGTAATAAAACTTTATTATCAATTATTTTTTATAGTTATTCTCTTAAATTTCATAACGATAACTAATTTTTCAATTATCTTTTTTCATGTTAAGTTGAAAGCATTCACAACTAAAAAAAAAAATAAAATAATAAATTGAGCATAAATAAAGTACGTACCATACTACAATTTTTTTCTAAGTTTTTGAGATAAAATTTATGCAGATTTTTTAATTTATTGAACAATAACACTATACATAATGTGTTTAAATATTATATAGCAAAAGGAAACGTTGAAAAACAATTTTTATATTTTGAAGTGATATTGAAAATTAAGAACAATAGTTAGTGCGCAAAACAAATTTTTGCCATTAAATTCTCTTCTAAAGTGAAAAATACTGTTACCATACAAATTTTCATTATGAGTCATGCATTTAATGACTTTATGGTTTATTAATATCTTTAATTCTATAAATTATCAATATGTCAAATCCAGCAGATTTTATTTTATATATCTAATGTTGAAATAAAATGAATTATTCTTCGTGGAATTTTTTTTTATATCTTGGTAATTATTAATAACTAAGTAATTTAATAAATACAAATAAAATATTTTAAAACTTTAAGACTTTTTAAATACTTTCGTTTAAATCACTAACCAAACCACTTACCGTGTGTATTTACAATTCAGCATTTAATATTACACAATATTTTCTACCATCACGAGGTCACCGTTGCGAATAATATCTTTAAAGGATCTAATTATTGATTAATTTTATAATTCCTCCGCTATAATTTAATATACTCATTTTTCCATATTTATTTTAAAAATACATTTTTGTAATGATTCTACTTTTTCTTTAAATACGTATATTTAACTCATTACAGTTTACACAACTATTATAATGAACAATCTAGTTTTACTTAAAATAACTAAAAGATGTCTACGTATAACAGTAAATGTGATATTTTGAGAGTGCTAAAGTACTTTCATAATTGCTCCACTATAATAATTAATTTGTCGTGTTTGTCATCATAGACATGACTAACGGAAGGCCCAGCCTTTTTAGCTAAAAATTTATTCCTTATAAATTAAAAAATATATATGTATAGTTTATATAAAAATATATTTTGTAGAATGGAGAAAATTCCTAATATAATGTGTTCTACATACACTAATCTTGTTCACATTACCGTCAATTTTTATCGACAGTCACGTAACCCTGTTATTTATAACCATAGGCGTAATTTGGAAGATATAATTTAATATCTTCTTTCATTAAAAACTTTTTATAGAAAAATACATGTAATTATTACAATTTTTGGAAAAACTAAGGTCTCTCTAGACACCCAACCAATAGCGCCTATTTTGATTAATTTTAAAATGACAAAACATTCTTTTAGCTTCGATGCGAAGGTATGATGTGTTTTGTTTTTTTTTCTATTACCACTTCTTTTCAGCTCTCACCGAACCAGTTTCTTTAAACGATACGTCAAAAGATCACAAATCGTATCTAGTTGAAGACATTACCCTCAAATTTGAAAAAATTTCCATCGTTCCCCGTAAATGGAGGAAATCTCCAAATTTAAAAATCGCTAATTTTCCACATTTTTTTTTCTTAAAACTGCCCATAACTTTTTCAAATACGAACAAATCAATATAATTTTTTTTTTTTTATTAATGCTTGATGTCTTTACCTATCATTTGGTATATATTTTTTTTATAAATCTGACCCTTTACGTGCCCACGGGGGGGATTTAAAATGAAAACTTTCACAAAAAATTAACTTTTTCAACTTAACTTTTGAAAGTGTTCCGGAAGGTCTGATACTTTTATATATATCTTAAATTAAAACAAATGTAACATACTTCATCATGGAAAAAATAATTTCGGACTTTATTTTCACTTCACGTTGAAAATAGTTACTGTATGCTATTTTTATGTGTAAAATCTCAATTTTAAATTTTTGACTTAGTTTATTATATAGGAGTAATGGGTAGGCAACTTAACATAAATTTTATATAATAGTATTTGGTATTTGCTAGTTACAATTAATTTGACTTTATAACAAATATTCCAAGAATGTTAAACAGTTATGTGTTTATATTATAAAAAAAATTTCAGACAAAAAATTTTCATTTTGTGGTTGCTTGATATTTATAAAGTAATCAAATTGTAGTTACACTCAATTAATTTACCAACATTTTCCACTTCATCAATACATTATTTTAATTAAAAAATATATTATTTATTTTAAGAATCGGTCCCATCTAAGTCATACAATAAAACTTGTAATATAAATATTAAAAAATTATCTAAAAATTAAATATATGAATAATACATTTTCAGATGTTCATTAAATAAGGAAACAGGTCAGTTGTCATATGTATATACTTATATGAATGTAATAACTTTATTATTTGTTACAGAAAGAAAAGGAATTAGATTAAAAATTACTTTTTAATAAACTGATCTCGCTATTAAAAATAAATTAAATTATAAATTAAAAAATTATTAATAATGATAATAAAAATTTTGATTAATATACCAGGTAGAAGGTAATTATGACTTTAAATGCTTATTTCTCTAGTTTATATTACACAAGTATACTCAAGTTTAATTTTTAATAAATAATTGATAAGAATCTAAAAAATTATTATATAATGACTAATAAACAATGTTACCGTCACATAATTTTTATTAATATATATGTAAAGTAAATATTTGTGCTGATTAAGTCATAAGATTTTAAAAAATTTTATATTGGAAACAAAAATTAAATAATATTTTTAATTAAAATGTTTTACTTTAATTTCATATATCCTAAACTTTTATTATTTATAAAACAGTTTTATAATTAATTTGATTTACATTCTCCCCTCCCCCAAAAAAAAGAAACTTATCAAGAAAGAAAAGAGATGGAATAAATACAAGAATAATTAGGATATAATAAATTATAATATCATAAACCATATTTGAGCAATAATCATTATAGAATGAAAAATATGTGATATATCTACAGTAACATACTATAGAATACATTTCTATAAATAAATCAATACACATCCCTAAAAGAAATATCAGTACAAATTTATGATGAGAATAAAGAACTTCATTATAAATTAATAATTTAACTTTTTATAAAAACTTGAAATTTTATATAAAATAATATATTATAAAACCTTATAAAAACAATCTATAAAAGTTTATTTAAAGAATTTTTGTTTTTATTATAAATAGAAGTGTTACTTGATTTTTATTAAAAAAAAAAAAAAAAAAACATTAAAATACTTTTAATTTAAACTTTTTTCAAAAATATAGAGTTGTAATAGGTTTTATAATAGAGATAAATTCACTTGAGTAATAAGAAATAATTGATATTAATTGCACATTTAAACTTTGGGGCTAGAAATGATATAAAAATAATATACACTGTGAAAAAATTCAATATTTTATAAAACATACATACTTGTGTAGATAATTATATCTACAAGTATTGCAATTCATGTTTTAGACTAGATTAAAAGCATCTAGTCTAACTATAATAATCAAACTAAGTAATTATTCTCTCTATAAAATTAATACTTTTAGTTTCTTATTTAGATTTAATTACAATAATATAAGGTAAATAGTTCCAGAAATCCTTATATGAATTGTAATAAAATTTTCAACACCATTTTTTTAACGATTTTTTTTTGACTGTTTATTTTTTTTAACTACTTTCTGTGGTTTCTTATAGTAATAAAATTGAACTACAATGATGAAGTTGGCTATTGTTGCTAATAAGAAAGCCCATATGAGCAGTAAATCCCCAGTTTCTTGAATTGATGTAAAAACTCTAACGGATGAACCCAAAAACAAAAGGATGCAAGTGGCTATAGAAAGCTGACCAGTGCCTTTGTTTTTGTAATTGACGTAGCCTTGGGTCAACTGTAAAGGAGATATAAACCATAGAATCAATTATCATTTATTATTATAGAAAACATTAATTTTTTGTTGCCTAAAATTAAGATTATAAGTTCAAATTGTTACTGATATTCTTACCTTTCCATAAAACATTAATGGAATACTAATTAATTGAGCTGTCCATAGATAATCTTTGGGCACATAGCCTGAAATTAAGGCCAAAAACAAAGTACAATATAAAACTGTAAATAATGTAGAGACCTTTTTTGATATGTTATACTTTAATACTAATATTACAATAATTAATGTCTGTATAAGTATGAAGAAGGAATCTCCCCAAGCACTGAAAAAAATATGTATTTGTTAATAATAACTTTAAATTAGTGAAAAATTATAAATTTCATATAAGTATTATTATTTTTGATTGATGTTTTCTTTTATAGGTACTTCAACAGTTTAAATATAATTTTATTTTGCTTTTATCATTATTATAATTACCTAAATGGAAAATTGCTTGCATAGCTATAAACTACATTGGTAGTAACAGCAAAGAGATCCATACTGACATTTACCAAACTGATACCTTTGGCGCTTTTACTATTCCATACTTTTAGTACCTGAGGAAGTTTAACTGAAAAAATAAAATAAACTTTACAATTTATTCAATAATTTTGAATAAAATTATTGTTTAACCTAATAAAGATCCTCCAACAATTCCAAATCCGAGACCTTTGCTAGCAGAAGTTTTTAGACATTCCACTATAAAATAAAAAATTTAGTTTAGAGTAAAATATGTAACATGTAAAAAATATCAAAATTAAAAATTAATTTCCTATAAATTACTAAATAAATATTATTTTAATTATTATTGAGAACAAAATAATTATTCATAAAGCTAATATTGTTAGCAATTTTAAATATGATTTTTTAGGATGGGGAACGATATAACTCCTTAATCCTATAATTTTGATTTAAGCCTTACAAATCATAGGTGTACTTAAGGACTTAGACCCTCTTCAAAAATTAGAAGTTATATAAAAAAAATTAGGGTAGGGAATAATATATTTAGTCTTTTTAAAAATATTACCTTAAATGTATCTATGTATATCTCAAATATGATTTCCCCAATTTTTAGAAAATCAACTTAATAAATGAAGACTTGGTACATTAAATAAAATTTAAGGTAAATTAATTTTTTTGTTAAAATCAGGTTACCAGATTTAATTTTTAAAAAATGTATACATTTTTAAAAGTCAACAATTTGTATAATAAATAAAATGTAACTTTTGATAAATTTCCAAATAAAATCTTCAATTGTCTTGTTTTCCTACCAATTAAAAATAGAGTTACTTTGTTGCTACATAGACATCTTTAAATGTTAGAAACATAATCTATATTATTTTATTATAAAGTAAAATTTAAATTTTGCGTTTTAAGTTGATTTTATTTTTTTACTTAATCTAACAAAAAAATAACTAACTTATATTTTTGAATAAAGCAAAACAATTTATAAATATTTGAATACATGGTAGGTTATTCAAGTAAGATTCTTTGAATACTATAAAATTAATAGAATATATAAGAATAAAAATTAAACCTTTAATTAATGAAAACAAATCACGATTTTCTAATGTAAATGAAAATAATAAGTGAACAAAATTTAGCATTATATGAAATCTAAAAAAAAAAAAAAAAATAAAATTNNNNAAAAAAAAAAAAAAAATAAAATTGAAAATTAACTTACCATCAAAAAAATTTAGATCATAAAAAAACACCTTATAACATTTTGGCGTTACAACTAGCAACAATATTCTCTGAATAAAATCTGATACAGCTTCCATGGTTGGCCGTCAGCAATATTGGACGTGACAGAGTTAATTTTTCTCCTAAAAATGATTAAATTAAATTGTATTACAATGTGGATGGGTAGCTAGAAGATATTTTTGTTATGTAAAACAAATACCTTCGATATTAACAATTTTTGATAAATTAAATTTTGAACTGGAAGAGTGTTAAAAATTTCAAATTGTCCCTTGAGACATGCTTATCGAGAGCTAGAAGAGCCTCAATGAGCACTAAAAACTGCAAATAATAACTATAATATTGATAATAACATTCCAACTCACGAAACCGACAAACATTATCTGTTATCACAAGTTCCATGGATTGTTATCGTATTTTTATTATCAATTATTAGTAATTTTCAAATGTTTTCCGACAAGACCTCTAACGCTATCTACACATTTAATTGTTAAATGACTGGCATATGAAATTAAACACCTTTAAAGATATTTTTGATGCAAATATTCATGGAGCAGTGCCGGCGCAAAGTTTTGCGGGGCTTGGGACAAGTTAGCCATGAGGGGGTCCAGTAGTTATCTCTATTTCTGGGTTGAAATTTTTTAAAGATTTTTTTTTTTTTTTTTTTTATGGAGAATCATCACAATATCCCACTATACTGAAAAGATTGTATAAATCATACTATTAAAGTTAAAACCAAAAGTTGTATTTTTAAAAATTCAAAATTTACTAACAGTTCTATCAAAAAAATGAAGGAGTTATTTAAAAGCATTACTGTCATCAACATTCTATTTTTGAGTCATAGTAGCTATAATTTTTGCCATTATATCTAATATGCAAAAATGAACGACTTAAATTAAAGCTAAGAACATTTTATAAAACCGGACTTTCAATATTACCATTAAAAAGGTCATGAATAATGTTATATTCAATTTTTTAATCGATCAACTAGTTTCTGTAATTGTGCGAGGTATTATATTTATATAATAAAACCTATTAAAAAAAAAAAACTAATTACTGAAGGTACTCAATAATTTAAGCAGTTTATTACATCAAATTTTGTAGGCAACTCGTCTCATAAAAAATGTTTGTCGCTCACAATAAATGCTATTTAACCTCCTAATTATGTTGAATCCTATAAAGGCTGCTATATTGCAAAATTGAACGAATAAAACACAATATAGACTTTTAAGGTAGATAAAATTTTGAAATCCCAGTAATGTCTTTTTATAAAATCTATCAATGCATTGCTTTATCTTTATTATTTAGTACATGTTTTGATAGAGCGATTAAAAAAAAAAATAATAACCAAATTTTTGATTGGGTTAACTTGTTCTAAAGTTATGTTGTGACATAATTTGATTTTGATTTATGTCTTAATAATGTAGTCTACTACTGAGGGATCCAATAATAAAATTAGATATAAAATAAGCACTCTGACTGGACTACTTAGGATACAGTAATCTGATTAAATATCTTTACACGGTGGATAGAACAGAATTACCTTTGCGCAGAAAATGCGGAACACATGAGGAAGATTCATTTCACATTTTGTGCGAATGTGACACCTTTGACACATTAAGGTCTAAACAGTAGGGAAAATATTTTTCTGAAAAAGAAAATATCATAAACCTAAAATCCAAAGAGATTAGTAGTAGAACGTCCTATATATAAATAGAGTATTAGGTATACAAATAATGGTAATAACACTTCGTTAGAAATACTTATGTAAGGAAATCGAATTCTGTGAAACTGAATGAGTTCTAACTGGAGTTAAGTATTGGGAGTGATTAGGTGGAATAATCCCTCTAAAACGATAAAAATGTTCACACTAGTATATTCCAACAACAAATATGCACAAATGGGGTGCTTTAAAAATGGCTCAAATAAAATTTATAAATGCGTATAAATCAGGAAATGGAAGATTTTTAATTTATTAAATTAATTCAGAAAAACTTATGTTAATTATAAAAACTTTTTCTTTTTTTGGTTATCAGTTCAATGAATTTGTGATATCAGAACGCTGATAACGTGAAATACTGTTTCTAATTTTCCCTCCAATTGAATTGATATGTCTATAACGGATGCTTTATATTGTCAGTTTCTTAAGTAAAAATATATATATTATGTAAGAATTGAAAAAATAAAACTTTATAAATGGAGAGTTTCGATCAGGTAGCTTAATCCTTTTGTATTTTATAAAGTTGAAAAACTGACTTCGTTGTCAACACAGAGGCATATTTAAGGTTGTACTGCCCTGGGTACACTTTATTTATAATAATTATAAGCCTTTAAAATTTCAGATTACCATATTTTAATTTAAAGAAACACCTTTTTTTTGCCAAAAATTAAAAAAAATAATGATGGATTTTAGGAATGTAGCAGCTCTAAACTTGTTGGTGTAAACATATTGGAAGGATCTGTAATCTCAGATAATTATTCTCTAAATGATATTCTTAACAAATATACTGAACAAGTTCGTGCTTTAGCTGATACGATTATGCAACTGGAAAATTTGAATCTTGTGAAAGATGTTTCAGTTTCATCAAAAAACAGTAACACTGAAATGATGAAAAATAAGAATAAAATTATCAGTGGAGTCTCGGCACTTTTGAAAGATTTGAAACCCTTAAGTAATAAAATTGAGTTGTATATATAGAGATGTAAAATTATCAATATTTCTTATTGTTAATTAATTATTGATATAATTTATAATTATTATATTATTGAATAATTGATTGTGAAAATCAACTAGGTGATTTAGATTTTAAATAATAATACTAACCAGAATAATAATAAAAAAAAAAGAATATATTAATTTTACAACTCTTAGTATGTAATAATTTTTTATGTTAACCCATTAGTTCCCAAGGTTAGGAAAAAAACAAATTTTATGTTGCATTTTATTAGTTTAATATATACCCAAATAACAATTTATAAAGTCAAAAAATTTTTTTTCTTTTTAGCTTTTTTTACAATAAAATGTTGCGTATACGCAATATTAGGATTAACACTTAATTAATTCATATAAAACGTGATTATTGTTCTGTTGAGAATAAATTTTAATAGCTAAAAAGTAATTTGGTTCAACAACAAGATAAAGAAAAAATTATTTTTTAAATGTTTCGTTATATTATACTTCATAAATATTTTTTCTTCTTTTATTTATTCATTATAAAGTTATAAACAGTTAGTATTAAAGGAATAATGGTATATTTTTTATTAAGCATTTAAATTATTTATCAAATTTTTGTTAAATATTGTGTTTTTAACAGACTATCCTGGATTCCAATCTTTAAGTTCACTGAGGCTACTTAAAGAGTATGAAAAAATAGCTCAAGAAAGTCAACTATTATTAAAAAAACTACAAGAAGATGATGTCACTACTAAAAATTTAATCGAAAGGTTTGTTTAAATAAATGTTATGAAATATTTGATTGAACTCATCTTTTTAACTGATTGAAATTATTTATTTTATTTAGTGCATAATTTTCATGTTTTTTCATTTTAGAATTGATTCTATGAAATCACTTATGATAGATTTCAAAAATGAAACTGAAAAAGTAATAAAAGAAAATTATATTAGTCCTGAAATAGAAAGAGCGATCACCAAAGAATTTAATGAATGTAGAGCTGATATGGTAACATTAAAAATAAATTTTAGTTAAACCATTTTTAACAACTTTTAAGTGTTTTTTTTTTTAGTACAAAATATTGCCCCTAGTTGATCCATCATCAATGTTGAAAGAAGTATTGAGTGTGAGTGTTCAATATTCTAATATCTTTTAATTTTGTTATTGATCATTTTCAAAATTGGTTTTATAATTGTGTATTTTTATATTATGGGTTCAAGAATAAAGGAGCTAATCAAATAAGATTTCTGTTCTGTTTATTAGCCCAATTTAATCATTATTCTATGTATATATTTATCATTATTTTTTTTTATACATAGGTACCTGCCATCTTTCATATTATGCTTATCAAAATCTTAGTTGGTGTGAGGTTTTTTTTTTCATTTTTTAACCAAATTACTTATCAAAGAATTAATAATTGTAAATTTATTATAGTTTTAAAATATCATCTCAAAAATGTTAACTATTGACAATGTGTAAAAATTGTCAAGATATTTATCCACCTACTATGAAATTTACATATTTTTAATACTGGCGAAATATAGCTTTTTTAATAACCAAAATCATTTTCACATCAACTAAACTGTGATGCATAGTTTAATTTTTGGGGAGTATAATATGTGTGGTTAATTTATTATATTATATAAGGTTTCTTTTAGAGATAGTTAAAGAAAAAAAAAATATGATGATATTACAATATATATTGTAATTAAAAATAATAATTTTGTGCTATTCTCCTCTATAGATATTGGTTGAGCATTCAGATGAAGATAAAGATAGTTGGGTCAATTTTGAAGACAAGCCACACTTGGTTTTACATTGCTACAAATTAAAAAAGAATGGTTTCGTTTTGCAAAATGAAAATGACAAAAATCTTTTTAAGTTAAATATTTGAGATTATTTAAGGACAATTTTTTTTAAGTATTGTTATTAAGAATTTTGTTTTCAATTATTTCTATGAATTTTATTTTAGGTAATCCACCTATGATTAATTAAGATTATTAAAAAGTGAAAAAATATCATTTTAATTACTATCACATTATTATTTTAGATACCCTCAATTATCTACTAAAAAATTATTTTGCTAAGTGTTTTTAGGATGTTTAAAATAATTTTTTAAAATTTTTTAAGCTAGTTTTGTTATGTTTTTATAAGGTATTAGGACACTAGACAATAGGGTGTAAAACCTATTTTGGTGTCATAATAAATAAGATGCTTCATTGATCTATCACTTGGTATTAAATTTAACCTCTATACATTAGTAAGTGACACACTTTCATTTCACTTAATAATAGTTGGCGTAATTCAAAAAAGCACTTAATTGTTAAATAGAGATTAAAATTGTAAAATAAAATGTAGAGTAGGTAACCTAATATTAACCAAGGTGCCCTAGGCCTTTACCGTGGTATAAAGGTCGTGTGTTTATTACAATTTACTTTTATTAAAAGTAACTTAAAAAAATTTGAGGAGCTAAATTAATTTATTCGAATTTTATTGTATAAAAATACTTATAATTTTCTTAAAATTTAGTAGACCTATGTTCAAATCTTCCTGGTACAATTTTTTTATCGTACTACTGTACCCTCTCCAAATTACTTTAATCAACTAATAGGGTGTATAAAAATGTAGATCATCGAAATTTTAATGAGAAACATTTTTATTTTATTATATACATTAAAATAATCATTTTTTGAAAATTAGAATTTTTAAAAAAAATGTCTACTGGTTGCTCAACATTTTTAAGTACATTGAGCCCTACTAGTAATACACTAAATAATCACACTAATTATAAGTATCGCTATCAAATACCATGTTTAAAATACATGTATGCTTTAAAATACTTATGTTAGTAAAATAGGCGTTATTTTTGTAAATAAATATGGTAGGTACATCAATGGTTAATAAACGGTTATAATGCTCCATAGTAAACCATTGGCAGCACTTAAATAGACCGTCTATGGTGGAATTGTTGATGTTGATTAAACGCATAATAAACTTGATATTGTACACTGGATAGTATAGATGATATCTGACAGTGATTAAAATCACTATTATAAGAAACGCTTTGATGCAAATCTGTAGATAGTGTTTAATTTTAAGAAATTGGCGGATTATTCAAAAGCAAATTCTAAATCAAAAATAATTAAGGAAAAATTGCAAAAAACTATTGCCAGAGGCTATGATTTTTACTGAATAGGCAAACGTTCGTCGCTTTCGTTTTTTGATAAAATTGGCAATTTAAGCTAATTTAAATGTTAAAGTTAATTTTTTCGACTCAAAAGAAAAATAAATTGAAATATTTTAACTTTATATTCTATGTAAATTAATTTAATATAATATTCAAGAAAATCAGTGTACCCATTATGAGGTATATTAAAATACAATACCAAGAATTTTAACACAAAAGTAGCACATTTTTGAATATGATAACCATGTTCACTATATCTCTATATTTTTTTATCATAGTATAGAATATTACATAAGCTTTAGTTTAAGATTAAATAAAAGTGTCAATATTTCTGGAAAATTTTCAAAAATTGAGTTGAAAAAGATTACAACTTGCATGTAAAAATTGTTATTTTGAATCCTCCCTGTGGCCAAGTCAAAAGTCAGATTTTCAAAAAATGTATATCAAATGAAAGAAGTAAACATAAAATATTTATGAAAAAATAATTGTATTGATCCGTACATTTTTCAAAAACTTACACTAATTTAAAGTTGAAAAAATAAAATATGAAATCGTAAATTTTAACACCGAAATTGCATATATTTTATCTACGGAAACCATTTTTACATAGAAAATAAAAGTCGTCGGGACACATTTTTTTTTTTGAAATTATAGTATATAACATTAGTTTTATTTTAGAATATGTTTGAAGCTCAGAGTATTTTTGGAACATTTTTTCATAACTTAAGTTGAGAATTTAAAATTTTTGTGCAGAGGTTGCTATTTTAAATCCCCCCTGTAGGCAGATAAAGGGTCATATTTTCAAAAAAATTATATCAAATGAAAGAAAAATATCTATGGTTTCAGTTTAAAAGAGAATTATTTTGATTCGTTCATTTTTCAATAAGTTATCGCAATTTTTAGAAAAAAAAGTTTAATAAATGTCAAAATTTACAGATCTTAAAAACCGTATTTTTTTGGAGGATTTTCACTATTTGCGTGGAACGAGGACATTTTTTTCAATTTTTAAGGGTAATGTCTTCAACTAGATACGATTTGTGATCTTTTGAGGTATGGTTGAGAAAAATCAGTCCAGTGAGAGCTGAAAAAAAGTAGTGACAGACACAAAAAAATTTAAAAAAATAAATAAACACATTATGGTAAAAAAATACCTTCTCAGCTTAGCATCGAAGCTAAAAAAAATTTAAAACTCTTTGAGATCGACAAAAAATTTAGGATTATATTTGGAATTGAAATCAAAACAGAATGTATTATCAATATTTACATCTTATTGCAACATAAGTTACATGATAACTACATTACGAGGAAATAAATATGTTTTTATAATTGCGGTAAAAACTAATGAGAGAAACCAAATCTCGGTTCGTATAATTTTCCGAAAAACGATCAATCGATGGGTATAACTAGTGATGGAAAATATCGAATAGTAACTATCGAACTATTCGATAGTCATTCAAAAAATATTCGAATAGTAAAAATATTCGATAGTTACATAATACATTCGAATAGTTTTTAAAACTATTCGATAGTCTATGCTAAAAATAAACTATTCGGTTGTATAAACACAATTCGAATTCGAACGATAGTTTAAAATATTTGAAAATGCCGATCACTAATTTTTACTGTTATTAATTGTATAATAATTTAAAAAAGTATTGGTTAATTATCTTCTTATTATAATAATTTAGTGTACTTAATAAAAATTTTAGATAGAACTAAACGAATATTTTTTAAAACTATTCGATAGTTTTAAAAAACTATCGAACACTATTCGAAAATGCCCATCAATAGTATAAACTCAAAATTACTTATAACTATTATAGCTGATAATTGAACTTAACATCGCCGAAATTTAAAAAAAACTCTCAATTTTATAAATTTAAAAAAATTTTCAAAATTACGCTACTGTAAAAATACATTTTTAAAGTATATATATTTAAGTAAGTATACTATATTTTAAACTACTATAACTTTTTTTTACTAAATACTGATCTTAATGAAATTTTGATAGAGTATATAAGAGGTAATAAGCTTTTCTTTTTTATGTGAAAAATCCAAGTACAGGAAGAATTTGAAAGACATCATTCATATTTGTAATTTTTGTTCAACTTAACTTTTGAAAATGTTCCGGAGAAATTGGTAGCGAGGAGTTATTATGTAACATATTAATATTCTTAACACTAAGAGAAAATTAAAAAAAAAGAAATATTAGTGAAATATAAATAAATATTAATAAAACAGAAAACACGTCATGTTCCATAGATTTTGTATGTAAAATAATATGCTTAATTTAAAATAATAAAAGCAATTGCCTTTCAATAATAACTGGTTCTTTTCTATGCGCTAGTGATGTCTGAAGTACACCTTTAATTGCTGCAATTACTTAAATATTAGCAAGCTGGACAGATATTATGAAAAATTTAATATTCTTTAAAAGCGGTACATAGCGCTATCTCTTTAGATATAAATTATCAAATATTCGGTTTCCAATAGTCTGATTGCCATGGATTATCTATGTGTATTTAATCTATGCCTTAGGTAACAATACTGATTATAGATAACATAATTAAATAACAAGACTGCTCACTACGCCAATTAATAATTTATTGAGTTCATGCGTTTAAATTCTATCGAATTTATGATAAAAATAGAAAATATATACGTAATTATTACTCATACAAACGTCCTACATTCAAAATCGTCTGTAGATTTGCTAAACTATGCATAAAATTATAAATTAGTAATTCATTTTTTTTTCAATTATATTCATTACTTTTCTTAAACAATTTATTAACTAATTAAAAATTAAATATGAATCATTTAAAAGCTTTCGAATCTGTCAAAAAAGTATTTGACCTCGCAGTTCAAAGTGGTAGATTTAGTAGAAATTTTGATAAGGTAGTTTTATTAAACTTAGATCTCTATTTTATTAATAAAAAAAAGTAAAATGTGGCATACAGTTTTTTTTATTATTTTTGTATTCAACATTATTTTTTCATATAATTATCAAAATATGCAAAAATGTGAAAATATGTACTTTGAATTAATATTCAAGTATATCATTCCAATCTAGTTAAAGATAAATTTTTTTTAATAATTATATAAATTATTTTTAATTATAACCAACTATAAAAGTGAAAAATTATTTAATGTTTACATGCTACAATGCTTTTCATTTATGTGAATTGTGAGTATTAATATTGAGATTTTTGCACTATCAATTGTAGAATAAAGATAACAAAAAGTAATAATTATAATAAAATACTAAAAGTTTTATGATTAATTGTGCTATAAAAACATTTTTTCATAATTTATTAATTGATTTCCTATAATCATCAAATTATTGTTATATTTCAAATAAAATCAATTATTTTTTTTATTCAAGGTAAAATTAACATCAGCTGGTAATGGCAAGTGTGTGGCAGAAATGATTGTTGAAGATGTCCATAGTAATATTTATGGAACACTACATGGTGGTTTTACTTCATCTGCTATAGATTTTTTTTCCAGTTTGGCTATGTTAACACATCCTAAAATTGCATATAATATAGATTCGTTATCTAAAACAGGTGTTTCAGTTGATATTCACGTATCGTAAGAATGCAATTTTTAACTTGAGTATAATAAATAATATTAAAGTTATATCTTGAGAGCATCAGTTACTATACAAACTACTTGTTAGATATTAAATACAAGAAAGTACCTTTAAGGGAATTCTCAACAGAGGTATGAATAGGGATCAACTGAAAATAATTAGATATAAAATATATATTTTTATTTTAGTTCAAAGAATAGTAAAACATTTTCTATGAATACCCCATGAAAAAATCTGTTTCTATGTAAAAGGCACCAAATTTTTTTGATAAAAATCACCATTATGTATTTTTGACGTTCATAGCAACAATAGTTTTATTATTACTTATCTCATTTATTGCTGTTTAGGTACTTGGCATCAGCAAAAATTGGAGAAGAAGTAATCATTAATGCAGAAACGATTAAATTTGGGAGAAATTTAGCTTATCTTGAAGTAATTATGACAAAAAAAACTGATAATATTGTAATAGCAAAAGGATCACATACAAAATTTGTTGTTCTTTCACAAACATAATAGTCATAACTAGTCATTATCTTTAGAATAATTATAAAATAATAATAACTTTATTGTATACTTTAATGTATTTTTTTAACTTAATAAATAGGAATAACTATAAAAAAAAAGTTTCACGTATTAATTTACTTTTAATCCTTCATTTTATTGAAGGTAAACTAATTATATAGAATAATAATCAATGAAAACAAATACAATGTTATTAAAAATAGAAATAACTTTAATAAATAACAATGATAATCTTTAAGAACTATAACAATTACACTATTTAATTAGTATGCAATTTATCATTAACACTTGGAAAATCTTAATATTATAGGTAAACGTTATAAGTATAATATATATACAAAAAAAACTATTAGACTTCATGAAATATATCATCTGATGATGGTTATTGGAAAATTTTCTGTCACTAAATGTTCGTCTTCAAATACAATTGAAATATTCACTTCAAATTCTAAAAAAAAAAAAACTGTTATTTCTAAGTATGTGTTTATAGATAGTGGGTAATTACACTATATATTATACTATATAAAATAAAGTTTTATAGTCTAACTAAAGTGTTAGTAAACTAAGCAATACATATTGGATTTGAGCAACATGGAGTGTTTTTTTTCTTTTTAAATAATTTTCTAATAATTTATTAAGCAACAATTTAAGCTGATGCAATTGTTATGCGTTATAAAAGTTATTTGAGTGCAAGTCCTTCAAAAAATTTAGAAATAATGTTAACTACTGATAATAAAATATTTAAGTATTTTATTATTAAAATATTACAGTGTGGGAAAATATATTTAGCCTCCTCAATACTGTTAAGAAAAAATAATAACAGTCAAAAATTTTTTTTTACCACTAATAATTCACCAAAAATAAAATTGGATAACATTAATTCAATTAGGTTTTATCAATAAATGTTTACCGATTTTAAAATTAGCTGTTTTAGTAGTTGAACATGAAAATAATCTTGGAAAAACCATAAAAATAGGTATTGAAATTCCTGTGGCTACATTGCCTTCAGCTATTTGAATATTTTGAATTTCTGTACCTTAAAAACAAATACATTTTTTTACTTGGCTGATTTTTAAAACGTCTAATAATAAATTAATATAAATTTTATAATAATAATTTATGTTGACTTAAAATTTTAAAAAATTTATACATTTTTGCGGACTCAATGTCCTTATAAACCATATACATACTGTACTTTTTTTTTTATCAGAAAAAAGATTGGAAATAAAGTTTAATTAATTTGGTAATTGGCAAACTTATGTATCTTCTAAATCCTTCAAATAGATCCTAAAAATACTCTGAACAAAATCAGAACTTTGAAAGGGATTAGATATAGCTGAATATATATATAATTAAAATCACTAATTATTGATTTTTTAATCATTTTTTAAAAAAACTAGGAAAATACTAAGTATTCTTGGTTAGATAACTGTTCTTTAACAATAGTAGCGAGCAAAATCCTGACTTGTCCATGGTTAACTATAATGATTAATTACAAATATATCTCAATGCACCAATAAGTATAAAAACATTAAAAAATGCTCATTTAAACATATTTTAAACTTTCTTATTTTCTAACTTAAATGTAATTGGTAAATCTTTTTTATTTCTGATACTCTATATCTTTTTTATCTGTTTTTACTATAATTGGTTATAACTAATCATGTTTCTCAATGCCAATGTAAAATATTAGGAAAAATTATCAATACAAGACTTGTGTAGTGTTCATTGAATGTATAAAATATTTCAGTTTTTACCAAAATGTAATTAGGAAATAAAGACAATAATAGTATGTTTTTTATTAATATACAAATTCGTATTGAAAAATTATGAAGATGTAACAACTCTTGGTATGGTCTGACTGAATATTGAAAAAGTCTACATTACACGGAGAACTTACATAATTACTAAATTTAAGAAATACTCTATGAATTTAACAGCTTTCTTTGGGACAGAAGTTTTCAAATAAAAATATTTTTTACTATTTTATCTCACAGCATTAAACAATAAAACAGAGTCCTTCAAGGATCAAACCTTTCTGTTATTTTTTATATTTATTAATATTAAACTGAGACCATCACTAATTCTTAGACATGTACTGTGTACACTGATGATTTCAATATTCTCTGTTGCTGAAAAGAATATTCCACTGTCGATACCTTACTTCAAGAGGTTCTCAACAAACTTTACTATTATCTCCAAGTTTCATATTTTCAGTTGAGAAATCTCAAAGCATTACTTTTTCAAAAAAGAAAAAAGATAATAAGATAAATCTCAACATGGCTGGTGTTCCAATAGTCAACAGCAAAACAGTAAAAGTCTTAGGTAATTATAACTAAAACTTTAAGTCAAATATTAATTTGACTCTAAAAATAGTATTATTCCCTACATCAAATATTTATAATCAAAGTGTCTTCTCAGACTTATAGTAACAAAACCTTGGCTCATATATCATGGATATCTTCATCTAATGCTCTATTTACTATCTACAAAGCTCTTATTTTCTCTAAGTTGGAGTATAAATTTTTCCTTGTGATAAATTGTGATCAAACAGTGTTAAAGATTCTAGATACAATATATCATGTAGTCGCCAGACTTTCCATCAAACTTTTGTTCAAGCACTATAGAAAGCATACTTGATTTAAGCAATTTTTTGCACTTGAACCATATACTTAAACAACTTCTGGCAAACATTTCAACCAAACTAGCTAGAAATGGACTTATTCATCTGGCACTAAAAGTCATTGTCTTCAATTATCTATTAATAAGTGATATACTTGAAAAAATGCAAAAAACTAATATCAAAGAATTCCCACAAGTCAAAAATTTCCACCTACACATGCAGCAGGTTGCATCATAAGTACATCCACCTACATATTATTAAAAAATAAAATGTTAGATTTATTTGGGTAACTGGATACTCTTACATAGGTCATGAAAAATTGGGCCACTGTGCTAAAAATGTTGCTGTATTTTCTAATAAATATTATAATTTATGTTTCATTTTAAGTCATCAAAAATTCTATTAAACTGAAATACCTAACTTAATAGAGTTAAAAACACTACTACTCTATATATTCAAGAAACCTTTTTGAATAGATAACAAAAAATGCAATTTAACTGAATGAGAATTAGTCACACCAGACTAAAACATAGCTATTCAATCGCTAAAGTAGCCATATAGCTATGTAAATATTATTCAAAGTATATGCTATTTAATGTAATTGTTACTGGCTTTGCTGTCAAGGATTATTTTATTTTTAATAATTTGTTTTTTTAAATATTCATGAAATTAGGCCACAGTGGTCTCTCAGCTACAGCCTTAGAACTGATTTTTAACTGAACTGTCAAAATTGGTTCCCAGATGAATGACTACACTAGAACTTTAACAGTGACACATACTTTATAATAATTAATTAAACTGAGAATGGTAAGCATGATATTATACTTGCCCTTCTCAGTTATTTATTTTATAATCAATACTTCAATAATATTCTTTATACTTATACAAATATATATAATTAGTTGATAATATTTATAGCTTACAGTCTTTAGAGAAACCTTCAGCACATCCACAAGTTTCAACACGGACTAATTGAACATCTATTGACTTTATTGGAATATCTGAGTGTTCAATTTTTAACTGCAATATAAATATATAGTTATGATCCACCAAATCTCAAATATTAACCATATGTCCATACTTCTCCTTTGAATGGTTTTAAGATTGAACATATTACTGAATCTATAGTACCAATTATGTGAAATTTTGGAATATTGGAACAATCATTAACGTTTGCCAAGGTATTTTGATTGATTACAAACTTGTCCACTTTAGTCATTATTGTATCTGTACGTGGCTGCAAATATTGCACACTACATTTAAATTATATTACTTACAAAGTAATAAAAATATAACATTTCAAAATATACATACATTTTTTTAATTTTAGTAAATAATTTAAGATTGTTTATTTTAAGGTTAAAAAGGTCTAAAGATTATCACTATGTAAGGTGTATAAAAAGTGTTTATAATAGGGTACTATTGAGTGATGATGTGAAAAAAAGGTGGAAAAAGTATTTTTAAAAATTACTGAATGAGGAGTATCCAAAAGAGACATTAGAGGATATCTCATTAAACGAGGGATTGACAAATTTAATTAGTAAGAAAGAGGTATGGGGGACTGTAGCATCAATAAAAAAGAACAAAGTAGTAGGACCAGATGAAGAGTCAGTAGAAGTATGGAAAATATTAGGCGGTGTTAGCATAAGGTGGTTGAAAGATGTTTTAAATAAAATCTCATTAGAAGGGAAAATCCCAGATGAATGGAGGAATAGATTATTGTGGTGCCGATATAAAGTAGTGATGGGAAATATCGAATAGTAACTATCGAACTATTTGATAGTTGTTCACTATTCGAACTATTTGATAGTCATTTAAAAACTATTTGAATAGTAAAAATATTCGATAGTTTATGCTAAAAATAAACTATTCGGTTGTATAAACACAATTTGAATAGTTTAGGATAAGGGTGGCCGATCCCAAGTAGTTGAGATTGAGGAGAAGAAAAAGAAGAATTTAAGATTGTTTATTGGCTAAGAAGGTGAAACCTATTTTAAAATTGATCATTATTATTAAAATGTTATTAGGGTTTCATTATTGTTTGTATTTGTTCAATACTTAAAAAAATTATATAAATTAAAACAATTAAAATTTTTTGAGCCTTACTCTATTTTCAACAATAAATTCAAGTGATTTGCGAACGTCTTTGTTAAGAAAATTTCTTTGAATTAATGCCTTGAGTAGATATTGAACATTAATGAAGACCCCATGATATGATTCATACAGTACTTTATTGGTAAGTGGTTTAACTGGCGCTTCAAAAGAAATTTCTGTACGCCCAGATGGCAAACGTCCAGGTCGAGCAATATCCAAGTTAAATAACATCAACTGTATAGGCTATTTTAAAAAAAGATCTACTGTACAAAAATTTTCCAATACTATATAATATAGTACTAAAGTAATACTATTTATAATACTATATATTATAATTATACAAGGAAGTAAAAATATTTGAAATATAATATAATAGGTATACATACTTTGACTGAATTGTAAAAAGCATCAAATGTACCCACATTTTGTGAGCTAATTTGCAAATCAACAAAACCTTCAATTGATAGTGAAATACCTTCATGTTTAATTTCAGTTGGAGTTTTTATGCTTATAATGCCACATATAGTTTCCTATAAATACATGGAAAATAACACACGGATAAAAATTTAATATTGAACATTAATAAAAAAAATAATTTATAATCTAAACATCAACAACACCACTGTCCATAGTTAAAAAACAAAGAGACAATGAAATTAATTTAGTTGATGTTATAGTTTTGAATTTTTGTTGATCATGAAAAAATTATTAAACAACTTACTCCTTCGTGATAAATTTTATTCGGTCTCTTGAGCAAGATGTCCAATTGTATAGCCATTGCATTAGTTAATAAAATTTTGGATGGATAGTTGGTCAAATTTTTAAATCATTTTTCTGTATTTAATAGTCATGATGATAACATTATACTACCGTAAACTGATAAAGTTATCAGAAAGATGATAATTTAGCTACATTTTTAATATTTTATGGAGCAAAGTATATATAATACGTAATTTTTTTTTAATCCATCCTTATATTTTTGTAATTTAAATATGTATTAAGAGAAAAATTATATGAACACTACAGGTTTATTTATAAATTCTCGACTAAAATTAATTATAGGTTGCCAACTGCTTATAAGACTAAATTTTCTTAAATTAAACTTGTTAATAAGTCAAATCAATCTTAAATTTTATTTATAGCAAAAAATAATCCCTTCAAAGAGCATTTCTAAACATTTTTAGTTATTAATTTTTCTTTACATATATTATACATCAACTATCTTAAATACTGAATACTAATTAAATTCATTAAAAAATTTGATCCCTGGAAAAAGGAAATAATAGAATGAGTAAATATAGTGGATTGAAACTGTAAAATGATATCCAGAGAGAGTATAAGTATGATGAAGAGTTAAAGTATTGATTAACACATTTTTATTTTTAGAAAGTGAAAAATTGACTAAATATTTCTCATTGTGAAATGTACATTTAAGAGAAGAATTAAAAGATAATAAAAATAATAGGCCGGTAATAAATTTTGACAAAATTTAATTGAACTGTTACATTTATTAAATGAATATAATTTATAGGTTAACACATAGAGTGCCAAAGATGCTAATTTATACTTTTTTAAAGTAAAAAAAATGTTATAAATATTTCTCCAAGTGTCCAATTGTTATTTTTGCTGTATTAAACTATATGATATTATTAGGTATATTTAATTCATAACATATTTACATAAATAAAATATTAATATAATAAAGAGACTTTAAATTCAATGTCTTTTTTTAAGGGCAAAGTGGCTAACCACTCATTACCATCAAAAATTACATTTTTGGTAAAAAAATGACTAAAAATATTTTGTAGTAATACCCTTCTACTATAGAAAATTTTTAGGTACGTCATTGTTTGGAACTAAACAAAATATTTATTATTAATATTTGAAATAATATCTTTATAAAAATTTGTCAATGTATGCGTGTGCTAAATGGATGTTCTGAATAAGAGAGTTGGTATTGGAGATAGAATTCCATCATGATGAAAATAAATATATGGTGATAATGTACTTTGAAGATAGTAAAAAGATTTCTTACATATATCCCCTCTCTCAAGACTACATCTTGAAAATATCCCTGTGCTTATAGTGCCTATATTTATATTACAATACAGTTTTTAGGTCTTAATTATTACGCGGAACAGTCTAAATTAATAAATTGCTCACATATTATATACTATTGATGTTATCTGAAAACAAAAATGAAGGAAAATAAAATCAATAATTCAACATAATTCATTATTTAATTAAATAGAGTAATAACAATATTTCTTTTGTCTAAGAGTCTTTATATTAGATAATTATTTTTTAAGAACATTATTTGAATGGTTGGATTTAATAAATGAATAAATTACTATAAAGGATTCTAATTTATTTTTCCAATTTAATAAACAATTTATATAGTTTATACACTGCAATTGGTGTACATAATCTAAAATTGTAATTCACTTAGTAATAACTTAGATTATTTTATAAAAATTATTCTTTCATAAAAATATTAATATTTGATTTTGTATGTATTAATAATATTAAAAGTATACTTAATCAATAGATACTGAAATGTTAGTATCAAACTTCTGTTTTTTCTGAGGAGGTTGGTCACTATCATTAGATCGAAATGATTTATTTTGGATAGAACTATAATCTTTTTTTTGTTTTCCTCTGTTAGTATTCTAAATAATAAAACAAATATAAATATTATTAAGTAAAAAATGTTATTGACTATTTAAATATTAGTTAATGAAATAAAACAGTAATTATGATAAAGGAATGTAGAATAAATTTTGTTTCAGAGGGAGATGCAATATATTTTTTAAATAAAAAAAAGTGGTTTCACCATATAAAGACTAATTCATATCACAAAAACAAATTTTTCAGTTTCCTGAAAAAACAAAACAGATTCCTTTGGAATTACCATTTATAAGTTATTTTACAATCCATCATAAACCCATTAATCATTTTTGTAGGTAAAGTGTTACTAAAGGGACAGTGGGGCCGAGTCGGTAACACGGTAGTGTTTTACACGTACTACCTTATGTTCAAAACTCGTTCACAGGCGGCTTCATTTGCCAAACAAGAGATTAGTTTGGTAATTGGAGTCACCATCTCTCTCTCTGGCGACGGACTAACCACCCATCCCGGAGTATCAATGGTTTAGAACCTCCTCCTTTGGGGGTGGCCGCTATAGATCTTAATGGGTATATAAAGCGTTAAAAAAAAAAGTGTTTCTAAAAACTGGCTAATTAAATATTAAGAAAAAATTTTAAATTATAAGAATATTTTTTTGTTATTATTAAAAACAAATAATAAAAAATGTGATTTTGATCAGGTTAACTTTGTACATAAAATATGTGCATCAACATTTTTGTGACAATAAGATTTATCATTTAATAAAAAAAATATTTTTTGAAAAAAATATAAAATACACCAAAGTTTTTATAAAGCTTTCAATTATATAGTGCATTGAAAGTATTAACATTTAGTGAGTACTTTTAAAATATAAAAATCTATTCATTTAATAATTTACTTTTAAATTCTGTGTCTTAAGAATTTCTTGAGCTTTTTTTATCTTGAGTATAAAATCCCTACTTGCAGTTAACTTAATATTCATCAAATCTCTGTCCTAAAATTATTAATATTAAAAGATAAATATTGTATTTAACCAACAAAATTCCATACTTTGCATTTTTTCCCCAGTTTAATGATTAAGTAAACAAATAGTTCAAGTTGAATTACTACTTTTGGTATGTAACTGGCCTGACGTTTAACATATTGTTTTAGTTTATGTGATTCTTTTTCCTTTTCTGTTAGTGGTCTATTATACTACAATAAATAATTTAATGAATTATTTAATGTATAGATAAATTTGTAACACTAACCTCATCATATATAATGAAATTTGAAACATTTGGAATAAATAATTCATTAATAATTTGTGACATCTTTCCAAATCTAGAAATTGTAAATTTAAATTGTAATTCACATTTTTATGTTTCTAAAAATATGATGAATAATATAACAAAGTACTCAACAAAGTTTGTTTGTAAACAAGTTTATAATATGAAGATCGCAAAAGAAAATGTTTTGTAACTGCATTAACTGTACTGAACACTTGATGTAATAATATAAATACTAATTCAGTACACTGACCAAGAGGTAAGTCAGTTTTTGTTAAATTATTTGCAACTAAAATAAGAAGTATTAATTGATGACACATTGCTTTTTCTTTAGCTTCTATTCTTTCTAGATAAATAATCTTAATATTTTTTTGTAAAGCACTTAATTCTGCTTTGATTTTAGACAAACAAGATGATATGTGATTGAATTCACTACTCAAACATTGACATAGTTCTATACACAAAGTTTTCTTATTATAATCTGTGATGAATTTTAATTGAGATTCATTTGTTTCAGAAAACTGTGAACATGAAAAACAATTAATATTAAAGTAATCATAATAAATGTTTTTTATCATTATACCACATACTTTTTTAATAAGGCCAAATGAATTACATAGGTATTTAATTGTGTCGGCTAAAATTGATGGATTTTCATGGTGAGCAGAATGTAATTTCATTGTAAGTATTAAAAATTCTTTTGCACTAGAAGTTGTAGAAAAAGAATACTTTTCAATTACAGTAGATAACCAAACTAGTATCTAAAAGTAATTAATTTTTAAAAAGTTCAACAACAATATAACATTAATATTATTTAATGTCTAATAAAATAAAGTTACAACATACATTTTTTAATTTTTGATTACTGTTGTTAATGGAATGACAGATGACTGATATACATTTAATTAAATAAATTTCAATTTTATTTGAAGAATCCATAGTATCTTCATCATTATCTACATTTCCTGAAGAATTTAACTGATTACTCTCCAACACTGTTTCTAAATGTAACCTAATATTACGCAACACATTAAAGAGTTCTGATTGATCTTCACTGGAATCAATGGCATCATCTTTATCTTTAAATATCACAAATTATGAGTACATTATATTTATAACAATATTTATTTTTCTCACTAGAATCTTTAAAAAATGTATCCAAACAATTTTTATAATAATAATTGATAAGTGTAATAATTTTTAAATAACATTCTAGGCCCAGCTCAACTGCATATTGGTTGATTTTAATTTTTTTATCCAAATCAAATAGAAAATAATTATATAATAATCTAAAAATAAAGTTACTAATAATAATTAAATTAATGATAAAATTATCAAAATTCTTAAAATAACTTTTTCCTTGCCTTGTTAATTTGCATAGATTTTGGTACAGATTTTTTGGTTTTATGTCTAATGAAAGTAATTGATTCATTTCTGTTACATGTTTTAGTACAAGTTTTAGAATTAATTTCCAAAGTCTTTCATTTTGTCTTAGTAATGTTACAGTTTTCTGAGTGGACCACCTAGTATAAGTGCTAGAAAATATTTTTCTATTATTAAACATCCAATTAATTTCCATTAAGCTTATATTTAAAAATTGATACTAGTACTACATAAAATTTGTCATCTCAACATTGCGAAAATGGGGAAGTTACAATTACTTAAAACCTAATATATATATATATATATTTTTTTAAGATATTTTATGATCAGAATTTTTTTTCGATAATTTAAGTATGATAAATCGAGGACATTTTTTTAAAACTATTTAAAAAAATTTTTTTTATTTGTTCCCCATGTTCATATGTTCCACTCACCTTCCTTAAAAAATAACTTTGTGAGAATACATAATTTTTTTTATTGTCTGTACTTTAAATGATATTTAACTTAAGGTTAAAATTATTATGAATGAATTTCAAATATTAAAAGGTAATTATAAATGTATTTAACAGTTAATGAATAAAAAAAGCAAGTATAAACATTTTAACATTTTTTTATAATATTCTAATATTTTATTTTTCAGGGTGTTCCTTTATTCTGTGAGAACATTTTTATGCTTAACATCTTATATTAGTATTGGAAGAAATAAGTTTCTGTTTAAATTTTACATTATAAGCCATTTCCAAAATTCATTGCTGTGAACAGTTGTCCCCATGTGTCACTACTTAAATACAGACTTGATTTCTGTGCTAAAAATTCTGTTCTTACCATAGTAAAGATAAAAACTTATATATCACATCAAACTCTAAATGAATGATTGGTTCTACAAAATTCTGATATTTACAACTAGCAAGTCTTTTTATTTTAATTTGTTTCTTTTTATTAATGTTATTAACAGTCTATGAAATACAAAATAAAAAATTATAAATATAACTGACAACTTATAACTTTTGATATAATTAAAATTTCGCTATAATTTTTGTATTCTTTGACTATGTTAAAAGCATATTTTTTGATATTTATTTTTAATAATAATAAAAAAATGATTTACTTAAATTATTTCAAAGTTTTAAAATAGCTTATTTTTTAATAGGTCAATAACAAATTTAGGGTCAATACTTGAGTTACAAACATTATAATACATAGAATGGGTATATAACACCAATGGTATTTAAGGTATAAATACAAACCAATACAAGATGTAATCACTTGCTAAATATAATTACTAGTATTAAAATGCTTTTATTTCGATAAATACTTATCATAAAATTGTTATTGACCCAACAACACTTTTTGTAAGAATAACTCTAAAAAACAGCTACTGTAAAATATTGTAAAAATCAAAAATAAAAAAAATTAATTTTTATTATTAAAAATAAATATTAGAAAATATGCTTTCAAAGCAGTCTAAAAATGCACAGAGTGATCGGTTTATTATAAATAACTCAATAATTTTCTCAAGCATTACTACTGAAAAATAGCATATTTTATACTATAATATTTAATATTTTCTTTGGTCTATGTTTTCAAAAGTTCTTTCATTGAATAAAAACAATTTTGATGTTTGTCGATTATAACGATTACAACTATTTATGATATATACAGTCCATAATTACTTTTAATGTGCATGGTTAAACGTGAACACGGATAATCGAGATTCCATTGTATTAGCTGATAAAGAATTATATGTAACTAAAAGAGATCAAAAGTTGTTTTTCTAATATTGTATTTATTTTCTGAGTAATTAAGTTGATTATAATAAACCGATCACTCTGTATGTATGTATGTATATATTCATAAGTGTCTCTCACCATGTTTTAACATTTTTAATACCTATTAGTCCAAAAATATTTTGTATTACTTTTTTTAAAGAAACATTTTTATAGTTGTGGACTTAATTAAAAGCATATTTTTGTTATGACTCTAATAATAATAAAAATAAAAGTACTTATTTGTTTTTTATTTCTTTAAAAACTCAAAATAGCCATTTTTATAGGAATTTTTTTATAGGTTGATAATTGACTTATGAATTTTTTTCTGTTCAAACTGATAATCATAGTTATTTTAATAATAATAAAGAATAATTTAGGAACACATTTAAATGGTAGAACTGCACACTATGTATATTAGGGTGGTCCTTATTTTGCAAGTTTAAAAATTTGATCTGAATTTTGTTCTATACAGCATCCAGAGGATATTGCTGAATTTTGACCGTCCTAGGTCAATCCCTTCATGTCCCTCAAAAGGATTGAAAATTAACAAAAAGATGTAGGAATTTAGTTTTTTGTATATATCTTTTTAATTATTATAAATAGAAAAAATTCTACAGAATTAATAATGCAGTAAACAACAATCTAAAGTAAAAAGTCTTTAAGAATTGTTTGTAACATTGATTGTTCAATGTCTAACTAATAAAAACTGTTTAATTTTATTTTTCATAAAAATATAGTATTTTTTTGTTTTTAACGTTTATCTCTATGAATATTGCAAATACAAAGATATTGCATATAGAAAAACATTTTTAAAAACTTATGCATAAAAAAATAACGTAAATTTTTTGTAGTACTACATTTCAGTGTAAAATTTTTAAAAAATATGAATGTTTCAATGTATTTTGTCAATTTTCAATCCCTTTGAGGCACTTGTAGGGGTTCACCTAGGACGCTCAAAATTCACCAATATTTTCTTTATTCTGTATAGAACAAAATTCGGATTACTTGACATCAAATTTAAAAAAAAAATAAAAATAATGTGTATACAAAATAAAAAGTGCATGTCACCTATATAATAAAAATACTAGGAGTAAGAACTGAAATAATTTCCTTTTTTTGCAATTTTTCTTATATCTAGTAAATTAGTTCATCTATATCAAATTTTTTTATTCATGTTGAAAAAATGATATTGTCTTTCAAACTTTAACTAAACTTCTTTGTAATTTGACTTCAAAACAGTAGAAGTTTGGTTAAGGTTTTAAAAGTAATTTCATAATAGTATTAGTTTCTACCATCATTAATCTAATATATTCTAAAAAAAAAAAAAAATTACATATAGGTTAACAAATATGATAAAAATGTTTGAAAAACTGACATTATTTCTGTTATTACCCCTGAAAAAACGATCAAAGACATGAAGAACATTGTACAATAATTAAGTAATATAATAATTGATTTAAAAAAGGGTCCTTTTCATTTGTCAGGATGGGGTATAACACTCTTAGAACACTTTATATACACACATATTATGATTATATATTACAAACATATTACGTTTGTAACAATTCATCAGTTCATTAATAGAAAAAAAAAACTAAATAATCATCATACTAAATACCTTGATAGCATCTATAATGTGGTTATACTTAGAAAATAATTTTAGTAATTTCTCTGTACATTCTTTTTCTTGATCTTGACTAGTCCATGAGTTAATCAAAGATGCAATTAAAGACTGGTAGACACATAATACTTGTTTTATGACATTAGCATACACCACATAATTGTTTATTACATCAAACAAACTTTCATTATCATTCTAAAAGCATAAAAATTGTTTTTTTAATTTAATGGTTATAATAATTATAATACATTAAATTAAAAAAAAAAAATTACTACTTTTATTTCATCAGTATTACATTCACTATAAAAGTTTATTAATTGGTCAAGTAATTTTTTCAATTCGCCATTATTTTTATGAGAAGAATTACTTTCAAATATAATATTTTTTACTAATAAATTTTGAGCTAAGATAACTAGTTCATCTAATGGTTCCTATTTATAATACAATTGTATTATATTAAAATTATATGGTAATTATTGTTACTTATTTTTAATACTCACATGAATTATACATTTTTCATCTTTTCCAATTGTTATTGCTTTTTCAAATTTTAATGATTTTTTATTATTAAAATTAACACACCATAAGCTCAAATGATCTAATAGCAAATTGGTGACACTAATGTACAATTTTTCATTGAGGAATACTACTTTTATTAAACCTCTATACAATGAACATTTTATTTTAGCATTTTGGTAAAAACAAATTTTTAAGAAGTCCAAAATTTCTAAACAAATTGCTTCATTATTATCTGATGAGTCTTCAAGAATGCAGTTGTTAGATGAATAAATATCAAGAGAAATTTGATCCAATGCTATCTAATTTTCATGTTACAAACAATAAAATTTATATTAATTAAATAATTTAAAGTCTATGTTTAAAAAACCAAAGAATACCACCGAATTTGTGATTTTTTGATTTTTAGTTATTTATTTAACTAACACACTATAAAATTTTTGTATGGAAATTATATAACTATTGTAAATAATATTCATACATATCAGATATGGTTTTTACTGCTGAGGCTTTATTTAGCAAATAAAAAAAAATAGTTTTTATTAAATAAAAAATGTATTTTTCAATAACCTTAGAATAATATATAATTAAATTTTCATTTGGCTAACAAAAAAAAAAGAATGAATTGGTTGATATGCTCCTTACATTTTGATTAAAGCTTTCAATATGTTAAAATATTTCTTACTTTATAGCAATTATTGCAAGAAATAATAGTTGTACTATACTTTTGTTCATTACTAAAAAACATGCCAAACAAAGAACAAAATCTAAATTGTTTATCTGATTATTAAACATATTTATCTTCAAATATAAAAATAAATTTAAATGTTTTGTAATTAAAATTTTGTGGTGAAAATAAATATCCTATTTATAACCAAAAGAAAGTATGAAAATAATATTATAAATAAAGACCTGTGTAAAAAGGCCTGGCCATGAGTCTTGATTACTTGTTTCATTACTAAAAATAGTAACATTTTCTAATTGAATACTACATAATATATCTATAAAGCCCAAAACAGCACTATGTCTTGTCTGAAAATCTCTTCAAAATAAAATTCACGTATAAAACATAAACAATACTTAAAATGTATAAAATAAACTTAAGCAAACACACCGTGACAAAAGTTCTTTACGTAAAATCATAATAACATTATTCCTCAAAAAAGAAGATATTTTTAAAATAGGCATAACAGCATGTGTTACATTATTTATCAATTGGATAGGAATTTCTTTGAACAATCTAAGTAATTCAGTGATATTTTCAATAACATTGGCTTTTTGATATTTACAAAGTTTATGTAAACATTCTACATCACACAATTAAGAAAAGATTTACAAAACAATACATAATTGTTTTAACATAAAGTATATATTTTATTTTAATATATTAATTACTTAAATATTGGTTTGCTGAAGGTTTGTATGCAATAAAATTTGTCAAATTTTGCAATACACTCCTGGTTATAAATGATCTTCTATTAACCAATGATACAATGATTAGCAATCCTAACTGGTGGATTTTATTAACAACTCCTATATTTTCTGTAATACAACATTACAATTTTTAATTATATACAATTATGAAATAACAGTATTGAGATATTTTTAATATAATAATTTATAAGTACTGTGTTACATATATAATATACTATGGACAAACAAAAAAAAAGTTTGTTCTTTTTTATTAATACATTTTATAAATTAGTTAATTTATAAAAAAGAGTTATAAATACTTTTAAATAGACAAGATGTTGTTCCAAGGAATGATAAACCTAAATTGACTAGTCCCTTAAATACTTTTTCATAGTTTGATATTCTAAGCATTAGAATTAATCAATCTATTAAGATTATAAAATCGATAATTAATTGTATAAAATATAAACATACTCGCTTTTTATAAATATTCGAAATCGGTCAAATTCATCATATAAATTTGTATAATTTAGTTTTAACCAATGTGAGACTTTAATAGTTTCATTTTCTTCTAAAGAGTGAACTATTAATTTTTTTATCAATGTAAAAATCTAAAATTAAAAATAATTAGGTAACATTAACCTTTTTAATAGATATAAATATAAATTTACTTACAATAGTCTCATATGGTTTACAACAAGACATAGTTAATAAAAATGATAACATAAATGGTCCAAGTACCATGCAAGGCGCTTCTATACAAGTTTCAATGTACTTTACTATATCATTCACAAATGACGCGTGAAATTTTGCAAAATCTTCCAAAAGAAATAAAACTGTAGTTTTAGTTTCCATCACATCGTTTTTAGATGTACCTTTTATAAAATAACCATTTTATAAATTAAAAAATTAATGATTACTTGAGTAAATATACAAATTTCAAATCCATTTTGGTCATTAACATTTGTAGTGTTAATTAACTTATAATCAAAATATTTTTGTATAGTGAAAAAGAGATGTAAAAAGTCTCCTCTCAAACAAAATAGTAACATTTGTTGCAATAAAGGGGGCACTTCTTGCAATTCCATGTGTTCAAAATATGAACATAACATATTTATAGCTAACTCGTGCTCCTTTTTACTCAATTGAGTTTTCCTGAAAAATTAAAAAAATATTATTTAACATTGGTAATTTAATCTAGATTTTTTAATAGGGGTTATATATGATGGAAAAGTGGATGTATTATTTTAGAATAACTAGAAAAAACCAACAGTTATTTTTATAGAAAATTTTTTCATATATGAAAAAGTATTTCATATTGCTAATTTAAAATAAACTTTTAATTCCGTATGCTTAAAAACTATTAGGTTTTTACAATGGTATGACATATTTATATTCTTAATGTAGCTTACATTTCCCCTTTTTACAAATAGGATCATTAAATTAGACATAAAATCAAGCACATACTGGATGCGGAAATAACGAAAAAATTGCAGTGGGCCCTACGTTCCAACAAATAATGATAAAATTAAAAAGGACAATTATAATTTTTCATGGTGAAATTAGGGACATCTAATAATTATTTTTGGTACAAAAAAATAACCAAATATATATGAATGGAATACCTTGTTTTAGATAAACATATCATGGTACCTTTAATCTACAGCTTGTTCAGATAACATTCTTTACAGTAATTGTAAAATGTTATAACTTTAATGATTAGTAAATACTCAAGTATATAGAAAACAAATTTAAAACTACAAACCCCAATATCAACTAGAAGATTTTCTTTAGAATTAGTTATTTTAAAATACCCTTTCAATGTCCCACAAGAATCCTGTGTATAGGTCACTAGAGTCTTCTCATATTCACTAAATAAAAAAAATTTTTATCGTTGCCATATAATTTCAACTATCATCGGAGAGATCTGACATAAGTACTTTAATAAGCAACAATTCTCTTTAGTTTAAATATTTCAAAATGTTGCTAGAAGCATTTAATATTTTTTTCAAATGATTATGATGTAATATACTATTGAATTATAGTAAGTATAAATGAAATTATTGGATTCTATTTATTCTATATACATACATATATATATAGAATGTTTAGTAAGTAAGGAAACGGATTTCCATTATTCTGATTGTTTGTAACAATGACCTGTTTCTTTACTGAACATCAGTATATATTTTTTTTAATTTCTTGAGATTTTATTTTTACAAATATTATACCTCCATTATAATAAATACTTAACAGTAATTAAGTTAACTTAAATAATATTTGCGCTCTGGAGAAAAGTTAATAGAATGAATAATCATGATACATTGAGATTTTAAAATGATATCGGAAGATTGATTTAATTGCTAGTAGTAACAAATCAGAAGAGGAAGCGACATGAAAATCTGCTACTTCATTTAAATATTTACATGATTAGGAATCTATTGGAATACAATAGATTTTCCGAGTCATTAATAAAAATTATGAGATTAGATTTTATAATAGAAAAAGATTTTGCTGAGGAATAACCGATATAATAACATAAAATTAAGTTACTGATGTTAATAACTTCATGTAAATTTCAATTAAAAATTATTCGCTTTTAAACTTTTGTAAGGATATAATAAACTTCTTTACTTGATGTATATACTTCAAAATTGGATATTGATTGTTGACAACATTCAATAGAGCAATAACAACAATTTGTTGGTATTGCTCTATCACAATGGTGATCTTTCAAAAAAAGATAATTATGGTAATTGAATCACTTAATAGGATAAAGAACCAATTCAGCATTTTTTTTTTTAAATACGTTTTATTTACTAAGATATATTATTTTAACTGAGTGATAAAGCATTAGTTTTAAATATATACTAGAACATAGTGTAATCAATACAATAATTTTATTTTATTATAAAAAGCACTATATTAGTAGTATTTTACCAAAAATTCAATATTAATGGAATAATGTTAAATATTAACATAATAATTTATTAGGAGAAACAAAAGATCTAAAAAATTATTTGTGTTTGAAATAAACCTCATATATTATTTTGGTGTTCCTCTCGGACTCCCCATAAATTGACCTATCCTTACTATATGAATAGTTTTATTGTCTGAATGATAATTGTTAGTTTTAATATTTAGATTCTATCCTTAGATATTATAATATAACAATTCACTTATATACAATGGTGTACCCAAAAATTTTCAAAGGGGGGATAATACCAAAAATATTTTGGTGACCTATTTTTAAATAATTTTTTTTTGTTAATTTTAATTTAAATTAAATTTGTTAGTTTAGTACGGTTTATGAGGGGCTTTCACCTTTCCAGTTCCCTGGATACATTGTTGCCTCTATGAATAAAATTTTAGTAATAAAATTAATTTATAATATTTTTGATTTATAAATGAAAATGTTACTCAATAATTATAATTAATTTTTTTTTGCTAACTATTAATATTAAAATAATGGTACAATTTTTTTTAATTATGAGTAAAAATTTTTATTATTAAAAATAAAGGAGAATTTGAGAAAATAAATTTTTACTTAAGTTCAACAAAGTTACATTGAAAAAATGAGTAGCATAAGATGCAAATATTTTTGGATATATACCTGAACATAAGAGCTAAAGGTAATATGATATCTACATCAACTTTGGAACAACAAATATCTTTGATTATTTTTTCTTTAAAATCAACTCCACTGAGTTCTATGCCTTCAGTTCTTACTGTATTTTCTTCAGATATAATTTTTAACATCTGAGGCATTAATTCTTTCCAGCTAATGAAAAGAAATTAGTCATTACTAAGTATAGTTTTTGAGAAATAAAGTTATAACAACATTGTTAAGCATACACTTGAATACTATTTTTATTTGATGATTCAATATCTTTTTTACATATCTTTATAAACTTAATTAAATGTTTAGTAGACAATTTATTAATTTCTAAAGATAACTGGTTAATTATACTAATTTTAACTATTTCAGAAATGTCAGCAGTGCAAATGGTTTTTAAAACATATTCATAGACCTAAAAAATATAACATAATATTAGTGCTTAAAAATAATTTTTTTCTTATTAAATTGCTAATAAAACATTTTTTAAATATTATTGCCCTTTTAATAAGTTAAAAAGTTATATTAAATATGTTCATAGAAAATAGTATTTTCTATTAAAGTATTCAATAAATATATGATTAATTAAATTATTATTTATCAGAAATTTAACTTGGTAGCTCAACATGTATACATCACAATTATAATAAATAAATAATGAACATATTGTGAGCTATCTTGGAACTACTGAAAGACATTACACTACGGTGCTTCATACTACAAATAAAACTCACATAACTATATTATATAGTAAGGCATAAATTAAGAATTAAATCAGATGCATCAGATCTGACCCAATGTACATTTTGTGGAAGTGGGGCAGCACTAATTTTACTTCATTCTAAAAATTAAATGATTTTAAAATAATTTTATTACCAAATTTGTCAGTTAAATAACCAAGTAATAATCAAAGGTACCGTGAAAAAAAAATATATTTTTTGTTAAAATAAAGTATGTATTTTCTTAATGAGCACCAGTAGAATATATTTTCATGATATTAGCACTAAAATGTATTTTTACATATAACAAATACATAAAAACTGAAATCTACTATAGAACATTTTTAATTATATTAATTTAATTAAATTAAGATTTACTTTTTCAATGATGTGAGTTTTAGAGATGGTGTTAATTACCTTAAAATATCAATTAACAGTATTTCCAGAATGACCAAAACAATTTTATTTTTTATTACAAAAACATTCTTAAGATCCAATTATATGCAATTATAATACAATATTATAATTTGCAATAAGTTTAATAACGAATCATAATTTAATTACTTTTGCTACAATTGGCTGTGAATCAGTGATCACCGATAATCCAACCAATACATATTCCAAAATTTTTGGTCCATCTTGTTTATAGATTTTTTCATCTATTAATGAGTATACCTACAGTACAAATAAAAGTTGAATAAAGATTAGTACACTTTAGCGAACAGTATTCATTTATTTGAACCTTTCTATAAAAGAAATCTAAATAAGAGTAATATTTTTAATAAATCAAAAATGGCCAAAATAGATTAAGTTTGAATAAATCCAAAATGATGGATCTATATAACTGAGTGGGTGGGTGGGTAGCTCACGACTACTTCATTCATAAGTATCTTAACTAAATCCATAGTTAAATTTTATATTTAATTATTACCCACGAGGTCAATGCAAACAACTATGTTAATATAAATGATAACAATTGTTATCAATTTATAATTTTATTTAAAGATTTTTTAAAAACTTCTATTAAGTATTAGTCATGGTACTTAAATAAACATTTATCAATAGTATAAAACTATAAAATTTATTATTAAAAAATATTTTTACTGGTAATTTGTTTAACCTGTTAAATTGATTGATTCAAATCTTTTTAAGATTAAAATAAAATTTTTATTCAACATTTTAAAACATTTGTTCAATGTTTTTTAAAATTTCCAATTCTTCCTTATATTTTTCTAAAATGATATTAGAAAAATTGTAAATAAAAAATATTATGTAGTTTTATAAATAAAAAAATCTTAAGAGAAATTCACTTATAATTATTTTATATTTTTCTTTTCGAAGTAATTTTCAACATTTTTATGAAAGATTTAAGGGCTGAGGGGTTAATTCGATAAAAATAACTGTTTTACAGTTACCGTCTACTGTTTACTATTCTAAATTTTTTTAGCTTCGAATTTTATAACGAATTTCTCCATAGGACAAGGAGACTTCAATTTTTTAAAAACTGATATTTACGAAATTTGATTCTAAAGAGCCAATATATATTTGTATTAAAAAAACATGTATTTTAATTGAATAGACTTACAGTATTGACATCAAGCTCTTCGCGAACAAACGATTGAAATTCAACAAAATCTTGAGTACTATTTAACCTTTTACTAGCCAAATTAAAAAGTAATATAATTTTAGTATTACTCATTATTGTATTTAAAATAGTTTAATATTTTGATGTTTTCATTGTTCTCAAATTTTTATTTACAAATGTTCATAAATAAGAACTATAAATATATATTTACCATTTATTTTATATATATACTAGAATAAATAAAAATACAGTTTGACCAACGTTAAAAAAATTGAGGACTTATTAATTTATGTAATAATATTAGCATTAAATAGCCAAAATCAATTTCTGGAAATCCTTTCGTTGCTATTATTGTGTATCATTTTAACGAAGTGTATACTTTGAAAATATAATGAATGTCATTTACTTGTTGCAAAGAATAATACACAATTCATTTAATTATTAATTCATAGAATTTGATAAACTTACATATTTTTGAAAATATTCAATAGTTATGAAGGTATGTTATTTTTAGCTAAAAATTTGTTAAAATAAATAAATTACATTTCTCTATAGAATTTCCATCTATTTATCTGTGCAATTTAAAGGTGAAGTTTATTTATTTTTCTTTTAATTTCTTTAGTTTTAAACATTTCAACACCCATTAATATATCTTAATAACTCTAAAAACAATTGATTTTATGAAATGTCTGTTAACTTATTAACTGATAAATTAAAATCATCTGTTTTGCTAGTTACATTTTTTTAACCGATTGTAAGAATGAACAAGGAAATTTTTAATATTTAATTTATGAAATACTATATGATTGTTGTAAATCCATATAGTCATATAGACGAATCTCCTTGTTTTTTTTATTTTATGTAAATTATTATAGTTGGTATAATCAATAATAATATTATTGTAATTATAATGGATTAATTAAAGGGTGATATTTATAATACATAGATTTATCTTCGATTAGAAGCTGAAAAGGTTTTAAGTTTATCATGACATGTTTTTTTCTTATTTTGTTTGTCACTACTTTTGTTCAACTCTCACGGGACTAATTTTAATAACCAACACGTCAAAAGATCACAAATTGTATCTAGTTAAAACATTGCCTTTTTAAATTGAAAAAGATTCTCTCGTTTCTATTAAATAGGAAAAATTTCCAAAAAAATTTTGATTTTTAAAATCAGCATATTTCGACATTTTTTCTTAAAACTTTAATAATTGTCAAAATAGCAACTTCTACACAAAAATTTTACTTTTTCAAATTAAGTTTTGAAAATGTTCAGGGAATACTTCGAGCTTTAAATATATTTTAAAACAAAGCTTATGTTATGTACTATAGGTTCAAAGAAAAAAAAAGTTGTCCAAACGACTTATCTTTCATGTGCTGTTATAGTTAAAATTTAAACTATTTTTTTTTCTTCAAAATTTTGGATTTCATATTTTATTTTTTCGAATATAATGCTATAACTTTAAAAAAAATGTACGGATTAAGTAAAATTTTATTTAATAAATACTTTATGTATTTATAAATCTTTTTATCCAACATACTTTATTTTTAATTCGGACTATTTTCCTTTACCTAGGGAAGTTCAAAACTTGAAATGTACAAAGTTTTTATATAACATACGAATATAGAACTCTTTCAACTTAAATTTTGAAAATGTTCAGGAAAATCTTCAATATTTAAACATACGTTAAATCAAAGTTTATATTACATACTATAAATTGAAAAAAAAAATTATCCTGACGTTTTGTCTTTTGTATGTAAACAGTGTCCAAAATTAGACAAAAACATTATTTTGGTGTAAAAATCACAATGTCTCTTAAGTTGTTATTTTTACTTAAATTTGTCATAACTCTTTTGTATTTATATCATAATAAATTATTTCAATGAAAATCATTGTAGTCATTTCTGTGAAAATATTGATGTTTAAATAGATGTTGCAATTGAAATATTCAGAACTATATTCTGCATAGTATATCCTAGAGTTATTCCCATAATATACTAATATTCAGAAATATTCTCGGTCTATAATTTTATTCGCTGATGTGTTGTTGAATTTCAGTTTAACCTAAATTTATTTGTTTATTTTATTTTTATGTGTTAGTAGTTTTTTTTACTAATTAATTATCTTAAAAATTAGAGGCGATAGAAAAAATAAAATTGCAGATTTGAAATAACTCAACAATTTCTTAAAATTATATATTATGTAAATATTTGCATCGAAGCGTTTCTCATGATAGTGATAAGTTTATCAACAGAAAAGGAAATGCTTTAAAAAAAAAAAAATGTTTAAGCTACCAATAGCTTAAGGTAAATTGCAATTTCAATTTCATAACTGAAATTATAATTAATTAATGAAGGTCATAATAATCAAATTAAGAAAGTTTACTTTATTGTTTCCAACTCCAACAGTTCCTTCTAAAAATTAAACACTATTCACATCTGTAGATAATGTTTAATTGTTTGTAATTGCAACGAAACGTTTTTTATAATAGTAATTTTAATTACTTTCAAATGTCATCTATACTTGGCCGACTATGCCTTGTCTCTACTGTGTCGCGAACCCATTGTGGAGTTTCTATTTTATTTGAACAAACAATTAAACAAAAAAAAGTCTTCAACTCTATTATTTATATTGCTTCATATTGTAGCGCTGTTCGCTTTTTTTTTTAATTTTTGGATTATGCGTTAGGTTTAACTTTTACTCTGGTAGATCTGACCAGAACGAAAACCAATTACTATTATGGCGGAAAACAAGAAACGCAATAGTAAAAATGGCAAAATGCGCACTATCAATTATAATTGTTTTTTGACCCGGTAATAACATTTCTCATTGCAAAAATGATTTTTCCGCCAGACATAACATTGAACAGAATGTTGTTATGTAGTAACATCTAAGATCAGGTAGTGAATATACACGTCTGTTTTGTAGAGTATTATAAGATAGTAACTGTAACCTTAATTATAAATAAATTGATAATCTGAACGGGTGTTAATTGATATAATTTCTGTATTTATCGTTTGATTTACTATGAAAAATAGTAATTACTGATTTTTTTATGAATATTAATTTTAAACGTTTAATTTATGTTTATTTCAGTATTTCTATGTGGGACTCATAAAAAATTTGTTATGACAGCTTTCATACGCTTCATAAGCAAAACACGTTTTAAAAAAACCTGGTTAAAATGCAATGCAAGTTTTGTAATTTTTGACGTACTAACCCTGTCCATGAGAAATGGCTTGAAATGTTACGACACATTAGATAAAAATGGATTAGAGGTAGTTATATCGATGCTAATAAGTTTGCTTATTATTTAGATTTTATTTATCGTTAAACATATTACATATACAACTGGCATAATGTGTAAACGTTTAAATTTTGTTGATGTGTTGATAGCGAAAAACTAAAATTGCTAATATGTTAATTAAAGCGCGGACAATGTATGTTGTGAAAATGAGTAGAGACTAAAACAAATTACTCATATGACGAGTTCATTGACTTTTTATCGCTTTGTCTGTTTTTGCGTAGTGATTAACGCCTCAATAGCAAATTGATTTATTAAAATCGATAAAAAATATCGCATTTATTCATGACCAATATGTGAACAATGAAATAAAAGATGCCCAGTGAGGTAAGCGGCGGGACACAATTGATTCGAGATCACAATAATATCAATATAATACAATAATTTGCATTCACAAAACAAATAGATTAAAATTATGTTTTTAATATACATTTCTATAACTTCACTTTCCCGAAGCGTAGAAAGTTATTTTTATTAATAATTTTTCTTTATGTGTTAAGGAATTTTTCTCGTAAAGTTAAAGGCTTCTGAATTCACATGTTAAATATCTCGAGAATCCGCCGGACTAATATATTTTAAACGTATAAATTATTACGATTAGAGCACATTGTTATACTTTTCTGGTATAGTTAAATACAATCAATTGTGTTAGTCTGAGAAATCTTGTGTGTTCGGCTGCGATACATTATTATATTAATTAGTTTTAAATATATATGTATGTATATAAATATACGGTTTATATTGTTGCTGCGAACAAAGGCGACTCTTATAATCAACCAGGCGATAAGTTGCATAATTGACCCGGTGGACCCAATTACCACAATTAAGTCAATTGATATATAGGTACTCTTTTTTTTTTTTACATAAAAGGCGAGGATGTTTGCACCGGTATAATAATTTTAGAAGCTTTTCTTATCTGGCCACTATATTTAGCTACTTTGTACTTAATAACAATGAAAAATAAACTCGTATTCGCTAAATTTGTAACATTCTAATCAATTAAATTAGGAAAAAAGTATTTACTAAAAAGATCATACTATTTATAATGTTGAACTATTTTAGGCTTTAAAAAACAAAAGCAATTTTAAACAGTTAGATCAGGGAATATTAATTTATTGGTCGATGAATATTCAATTTATATATATATTTACGCTTTTATTCAATGAGCCTGCGCACCTGCTACACCATCCGTGCTAATTATTTTTTCAAAAGTTCATTAACTAAAGACTGTTAATAAACAGTAGTATTTGTATATAAAAATGATTACGTAACTCAAGGGAGAAGGAATCCACATTTCATTATTAGCCAGTGAGTGTGCACCTAAAACGTAAAAGTTATATAATTCGTCGTAATTCACACATTTTTATTAATTCGTAGCTGAAAGTAATTTGTAGGGTATTAAAATGATTTATTTTGATTCAATTTTACGTTTACTAGTTATAAGATGTTACTTAGTATTTAATTAATACATAGTATTAATTAATTTGATTGATTATTGTTATTCCGATAATTTATTGTGAGAAGTAAAATGTCGATAACATTATTAATTATCAAGTTCAAAATTCCGGCTCTTAACTATGAAAACATTGTATAAATATGTTTCAAAAAATTGATAATTATTATTATTATTTACGATAACACTCCAGAAGAGAGTATTTATGTAATTAAATTATAATGAATTAAATATTATTGTTTATGGCTTTTATATTTTACATAAGCCGTTTGTATGATATACTAAGATGTAGTGGTTAGTTTCAATTTGAAAAGTGATAATTTTAAATTGATTTTCGGTAAAACTATCTTAAATTTTAGATAGATTAACAAATAAAATAATTTTCACGTCCTGAGAAGGAGCGTGAAAAATTTACGAATAACAGTATTAAATTGCTGGAACAAAAGTAGAATATCAAGTTTCTTCTAATTTTTTTTTTTTGCAATTGCTCTTGATGTTGAGAAAAAAATAAATTATGCTCTTAAAAATTTCCTTAGATCTCATTATTCTAAGGACTCCTATTAATATTGGTCAATGTTTAATTTACGATTTGTACTGGTAAAATGATTTAATTGACAATAGAGGTATTTTGTTTAATTGGTCGACTGTGGCACATCTCCACCTCTATCTACACCGTTATAATATGGTTCGCACGCCCGTGACGTATCACGGCGCTAGTGTGCACTCAGTGCCACTGTAGCCTGTTGCACCTAAAGTGTGCATGGCATTGCAGTTGCACCAAGTTACCCGTCCTAGTCTCACTGGGCAACGTTATCGTCGCCGTCGGTACATTCGCGAAGCGTTCCGTCACGATCTTGTCGCATACGATTATCTCAACGAATTTTGACGATAGTAAAATATTTTCTATAGAACAAGTCGAAAATCGTCATCCTGTTGATTGATTACACTGTTAAGTTTTATGGCTCATGTTAATTGTTGAACATTTTCGTTAATAGCAAAAGTTAATTTCGCAAATATAAAAATTGTTTTTACTGTAAACGCATGGGCGGTGTGGCTTGGACATAACTATAGTTAGCGTACGAACAGCGCCAGGCGTACTGAGTGTTGGTGGCGTGCGCGGTACGCCGCAGCACGTTTAGTGGGGATCCGCCGCCTGTGGAATATCACGTGCTCGTGAGCCACACCAGCACGTTTGACGGTTTAGCTGTGCGGCGCGTACGTGCACGCGCGCACCCGAGTTCCTCCGTCTGCTCTTCGGACATCGATTGCGAAACGTTTTCACGTGTCCCCGTTGTTGTTTACGTCGTCTGAATCAACCGGACAACATGCCGAAATCGGAAAAGACTACTGCTAGCGGTCGCATTCTGTACGAACTGCCGTTGAAGCACCATCACCATCACCACCAAGCCAAAGTGCCGGAACGTAGAGCGTCGCCGATATCGGATGGCCGCAAAGAAAAAAAGCGGTTGTGCACGAATTGCAAAAACCACGGATTGGCAAAAATTTGGAAAAAACACAAACGGTACTGCATGTACCGCGATTGTCAGTGCGCCAAATGTCAGAAAACGGCGGCTACGCGTAAAAATTGCGCCCTGCAGACGGCCAAGCGTCGTGCCAAACAGGAGGACGAGCAGCGCGAACAAGAGCTTCAGATCAACCCCAGTAGTTTTTTGGACGAGCGGCCCGTACCACATCCCATACAGCAAGGGTCGTTGGCTGGTGGCACCGCGGAGTCTGCCACGTCGTCCACGTTCCGGTCCATTGATCAGCTCAGCGTGTCCTCCACCAAGGCGTCGTCCTCCAGGACTTCCGACTGCGACTACAACTCTTCAATAGACATCGGGGGTGGCACGAGCGGAGGAAGGCCGGTATCACAAGCGGATGCGGCTAGCCGATATGTAGACATCGACGCAGGTAAGCAACCGCGAGCACAATAATAATTAAGGTGTCTGCGCGCGCGTTCCATTGATTAAGTGGTTCGGTATCTGTTTGTACCGACGGTACGCTTGTTGTTAATGTTCACGAGTATGTGACGTTGCGGCGAATACACTAAAGTGTTGTGACGATACTGATGAATTTTACTTGTGTACGAAATGAACGAGAACAGGTCGCAACAGAATTGCTTAAATATTGTGCAAATATAAATGATATAAAAATAATTGTTTTCGGTCCGTATCAGCGACCGACTGTATGAGAGGAGATCTTGTTGTTCGTAGAGGCAGCGGTAGAACAGTGACGTTTTTTTGTTCGGAACGCTATTTGACTGGAGTAGTAGAAAATCAAGATAAAGGTTTTTTTTATTCTGTGTATTGAATAAGTGTTAAAGATAAACCCGTGATTACAAAATTACTAATGCCACGGTTCGTCTTCGTAGTTTGATTGTATAACAGACGAATGACCTTGTCGTGCCACTATTAAACATGGTAATATTATGGTCTATTTGATTGCCCCTGTAGCCTGTGTAAGCCTCGAACTCGTTTTTTATAAACATTATATCTATTTGAAATTCCGCATCGGGGACACTCAACCTGTCCAGTGTGGTCGAGTGACACCGCACACGTGGTGGTCATGCTAACTGACTGATCCATCCATCCATGATTCTGCATCCGTGTAAAATAACAATCATAAAGAATGTCCAATGTCAACTGATTTGCGCTAACGTACCAAGTGCAAAAAAAAAAATAAAATTAATTATAGCTTGCGCGGCTATGATATTTTTATCAATTGCATAATGATAACCAATAAAAACCTATTATTTACGGGTCTTTAATTTTTATCTGGCGATTAAACAAAAGCAGCTGGACAAACACGATAAAATTCTTGACAATTTACGCTAAGCTAAATTTATTTAACTTTAAATTCATCTTTGTCGATTGTTTTTCGTGAGCCCGGGTAGCCTTTGTTTTTATAGCTATTGGTTAAATGTTACAATGTTTTATAATAATATAACTTTGTCCCGTTTGAATTTGAACCGTTTTGATAATTCCCATTATAATACCATTACAACAATAGCCATAAAGTATTAACATTGTGACTTAATATATCATTAGATAATTGTGAAAACACTCGCTCTTTTAGTTCCCGGGGCCATCGATTTTGTACGGTGTCGAAATGGAAAAAAATTATGAATGTAACTATTATGTTGAGCGTCAATGCAGAAAATTACCGACAATTACGACTAATGCATACTTATTTCCCCGGCAAATAGTTTATTTACTTTGATTTCTCTTTGATCAGACTTAAGCAAAGGCACAAATCGTTCTCGAAATATAAACAACAAGTGATTAGCAAATAAGCGACCTTACTAGAAATAGAAATGGAACCGAGAAAAGTTCATAGATGTAATTTAGGACACGGATACATAAAACTAAGCTCTCTGAACACACACGTGTGGGCAATCATTTGTTTATTTTTACCACCAACGTCTTATAGACTTACGATATAATATCACCGAATATATTACACGCAAGTAAATCGTTGATTATTATTTCCTTCGCCAAAAATAATATTTAACGTGAAGTTTCGACGTATTTTTGTTATAATTATCGTTACAATAAAGTAAAAAATATTTTTCCTGCAATGGATTATACACATAATCGCACTCGCTTTGCAAATTTAATTCGTTTTGCGCCCGAAATAGGCAATTCGTATTTACAGCCGTTAAAAAAAACACGACGACGACTTAAATCGCATCGACATGCCGGTCCTAATAATAATAATAACAACTGAATAATCTTAAACCATAAATTATTTAGCCACGTAAGCGGTCGTAACCCCAAGTCGCTGCTCTCCGTTGTTTCGACTAAACGCCGTTTTAAATATTAAAAGTGTATTTTTCAACTTATAGATACAAACACATATACCAACATAACTAGGGCAAGTCCGGGCAAAGTGTATGACGATTACATCTAAAAAACGTCATAAATGAATTTTATAAACTTAAAAGTATACTGTGATTATTAGTTTTGTAAAATTTTTCAATGTGTGAAAAGCACTTTTTTTTCTAAAATAATTGATAGAACTATTATTTGAGTATATAAAAGTTGTTGCACAGTCGTTGGCTTTATATATTCAATGATCTTTGTGTAATGGATCAACTTAAATTATAGTTATAATTTTATTTAAAAAAATCGGTTCGGCAAAGTGAATAATTGCTTAACACTGTTATTTAAGCTAAAACCGTTAAGAGAGTATCAGTTAATGAGGTTGATTGAAGAATTCTTAGCTTAAGACATATATTTAATTTTACTTTTAATGTCTTACATTGTTTAAAAAAACAACACTCAAGTTACAATTACTTTAATTGAAAATGAGAAAGTGAGTTGTTGCGCGTATAGAGGTTTTTAATTTTCGAATTAGATAAATGTTGAAAAAATAAAGTTGAAATATTCACTTTACCCTAGAAAGTGCATAATTTAAAAAACAATCGCGTTAACGTATTAGGGGAATACTTTCTTGTATAGGAGTGAAATCCGAATACGAACATTTATAGTGCAGAATAATATTTACACAGTACAATCGAATTATAACGAACATCCAAAAAACTTGCCAAAAAAAAAGTTATACTTATAAAATGATTTTTGAACATTTTTTTTGACTCGCAGTTAATTAATGTTTAATTTAAAATTTATAAAATAAAAATATACGAACAAATTCTGTGTAATGTTTAAACTGAGTTTGTAGAAGCGACGGAAGTGAACAAAAAACACATCTCATTGGGAATAAGTTTTGAAAGAAACACAAGAGCAATACTCGTGAGTATTACGGTAGTCGGCGGCATAAACTCATTACGTGGTTACCTAACGACACGAAAATGTAAACGCAGTAGTGTCAATGATTATTAAAATATATCTCAAGTAAAATCGTGAAATTACTGGTTTTTTTTTAATCAGATAAGCGCCTGCTGTGCCGTCACTTATTTAGCGAATACAGTGAAAAACCGTTTTAGTCGAGTAAATTGTGGACGAACCTTTTATGTGTCGGCATAATAAATTCATGTTTTCAACGCGTCTAATTTCCTATCGAGTGCTGCGCCGTGTACAGCGTATAATTAAGAAGTACCTTTTTGTTTTTTGCGTTACGCCCATCAACGGGGTAAGGACACGTCCGTATTAACCGAAATTCGATAGGAGCATTTAAATAATTTTCACCTCAAACTGAACTTGCCCGACAAGTACTACCGACCAATTAACGGGCGCAGTCTTGAGGACTTTTCCAAACAAAAGAAAACGGGTTGTATATTGTGACGGGTCGGACCGAGTGATTTGTCGCGGCGTACAGAAATCGTCTTGTCGGCAATGTCAGAAAAACGGGCCGGAGGTGCAAAAGTAGTTGTTTCGTTAATAGTCTCGACGACGACGATAATTTTTTAACGACCGCTCAATGTCATCTATATGGACGGGACGTAAAGTGTAAAAATGGCACACGTGTAATGCACATTGGAAATATACATTGTATTAATAATAACCATTTAGAATGCTACCGGTCGGATGTAAAACACGCGTGTGTATCGTTCTTTAAGAAAATAACTTTATCGAGGATTTCATTGAGTCGTTTTTCACGTATAATGGAACATGGAGTGACTTCAGATATAGTTTGATATATTAGGCACTTAGTTGTTAATCTTGTGAAATCGACGGTATAATTACTTGGTAATTTTAAACTGACTGACGCCTTTCCGATACAGACATCTCTCTGGTATTCTCGATTGAACTCTACGAAAAGTTTTTTTATCATCAATTACAGTTAAACGAATACAAAAAAAGAAACGTATAATTAAAAAAAATATATTTGTATTCTCCTTAAAAGTATTTAAAACGATTTTTCTTCCTACGTTTTCAATGTATTAATAATAGAATTTTTGTGCCGTAGAAAACGAAAAATGTTTTTTAACTTGATTCACATTAAAGAAGCGTACGCCTTGAAAATTATTAAAGCGTGTTATTTGTGAAATGTGTTTGGCGGTACATGTTCGAAAACGTCGACCACTTTACAGAATATTTGTTGAGTAGTTCTAACAAAAACATTCTCTCGTTAGGTTCTCGAGGAGGATTAAAACGATTTTTTGGTTAAAGTTGAACAGCTCTTTGTAATTTGTATTGGTCAATTTTGAACTCGCAGTGAAAAAATATCGCACTACTCGACTATTTTTACACTAGATTCATGAAAAATTGTACTTTTTTAATACTCTGATAAACTTGGTGTTGAAATTTTAAAGCGACATCGCTTTTCGGCGTTGGACACTTGTGCTGAGCCGGTACTGGCGACGATAACTGTTCAGTAACTGTTAGTCGCTCACTATCATTGGAAATAAATCGTTTTTATATTATGATTAAATGAAATATCCGCTTGTGTTTTCTTAATCGGTGTAAGATATTTACTTGAGTATCGCGCAAAGGTTATTCACTCTGCGCGTTGCATCACGTACTTGTGATCACGTACTATTTTGTGTGATTGTTTATAACATCGTATATTTCTGGTTACGGAGCACTTGTCAATGGGCCACACTGTACATGATATTTATTAGACGGCCAAATATCCAAAGCGCTTTTACTACGCGTGTCGATCGGACGGTTCCTTTTTTATTTTTGTAATTTACACGAAATCGACGGCTAGCCGGTTATTTGGTTCGGATCAGAGAGTAAACAAAACCATTTAAGTAGGTGATGTATAATGTATAACTGTTGTACACTAGTACAGCGCGTGCACGGCCGATGGGAATCGACTACATTTCGGTACGGACCAGGTCTAATCCGACCCGCGCTCTTCCATATTTACTGTGTGTTAGGGACCGTAGACAAATGCATTATGCAATATTATTAGTGTAACGTGTTAACCGTAAACAAAACACGGACCTCGTGCACTAGATCATTGTCCAGACGTCCTTATGTATATTCATAGGGATTTTTTTTTTC